CATCATATTTTTTTGCCTTAAGCTCAATTTTAAAATATGGCTTGTGAAATTTACCAGTAATAGAAGAAACTGCAGTAAAATATCTGCAAGTATACAGTGTTTCACAGCTAAATCATTAAAGAGAACAATGAATGTGATGCTTCTGGTAAGTAGCTGATATGCAGTGTCGTGATAATTTTCTTTAAGCAAAAATAGGTAACTGTGTATATGGAACAAAAAATGAGAGAAGGGTTTCCTGAAAATGTATTTTAATTCTTTTAACGTATCATATAATCTTTGTTTAAAAAAATAAAATTCCAGAGTTTGTTTTCTGCTTAGATGTGCTTTGCATTGCATTGTATTTAACGTTTTTAGTAGTTTGAAGTATAACTACTGATCATATTGCATGATATTGTGAACACTTGTATGGATATCTCGGAGGAAAATTCCACAGTTGATATATTTCTTCTGATAGGAATAAATTTTATTAACCTAATATCAGACTCGTGCATTCAATGTATTACAAACTTGTATGCATGCAACGATATATATAGACATACACACATATATATTACCGATTCACAAAAAATCATTCAGCACACATGTCTGCAAGTCAAAATTAAGATGCTAAACCAGGGTAAAATTGAAAGAAACATGATGTAAAAAGTATATTTAACTGGTCTCTAAAAATAAGCTTTCATTATCTGCAAGAAGCTTAATGTTAATATAAATGAAAACATGTCATTTATCCTGTTTTTATGTCTCATTTGTCATGTTAAATTAGCATTTATTGGATTCAGTGTTGCTGTATCTTAAACCATAACATCAGATACGTTTCTGCTACTCCTTTCCAATATTTTTACACATAGTCATTGATTAACAAAGCCACACACATTTTTTCTTTCAATAATCATTGAAATTATTAATTAATTTTTATCAGTCACCAAAAACATCTCACCTCGTTTCTATCTATAAACTTTCGTGGCTTGAAAGCTTGGATTTGAAAAATCACAGAACTAAAATACATTCAAGCTGCCAGCCAAAGTTATACGTGATGATGGACTGAACTCTTAAAGCATGAGATTCATTTAACGTTTACCTCTGTATTAAAAATGTTCATGGAAAAATCACGTCCTCCAGTGTGTGAAACTTGAAGTATTTGAATTTCACTGCCACAGGGTATTAGCGACCTCTCTACAAAAGATATGTATATAAAGTGACATCATCCTAGATAGCGCAGTTCAAGCTGTACTAAAAACAAAAACGGTTGATCTTTACAATATGGTAACTGGTAGTTTGGCGACATTTTGGAGACGATAAAGTTTACTACCTGGGACTTTGGTAATAATGTGAGCAGTACTCAGTTCCGATTACGCATTATTTTGCGTGAGGGAAATGAGAGATCATGGGTAATGTCATGTGATATTAATGGACGAATACGGTTCTAATCGGAAAGGGGGGGAAATCGGGAAAAAATGTGGAAATTTTGTATTTAGCTTTCTTCTGTCTTGTGTGAAAACAGTGTTGTTTAATTTTTGGATCCCATGGCCCTAACTAAAGTGAATTCGAAATGGGTATTAGGCATTGTGATAAAGAAAGTTTGCTTTTTATTTAGCGGAGGAAGTATGGAGGAAAAATTCGCAGAAAAATCTTTCAATAATTTTATTGAATGAATTAGAAAAGTGTATCCGCCACGTATCAAGATTCTGAAGAAGATTAGGTAAGTTAGTATTTTTTAATTATTTGAGGATATTATTTTTATGCATTATTCTAAATGTAAGGTGGAAAGGAATTTGGTATTATTGGGAAAATTGTTATTAGCAATGATTTAGTTTAAAGTAATTAGGATTGTAAGGTAATTTTTATTAATTTAATGTATGTGCTCATTTATATTTTAAGCAGTGTTTTTTGAATTTAAATTATATTTTAATGAAATGATAGTTATTTTGTGAATTTTATGTTTGTAGGAATTTGGTATATGTTTAAGTTGAAATAAACGTGCATGGAAATAATTTAAATATTTGATACTAAGTATTTGTAATGCTTGCGGTATGAATTCGTTGGTGATGTATAATGTAATAGATGATTAGAGGTAAAAGTTTTTGGATATTTTATTTATTTTATATGTGGAAATGTTCATATTTGTAAAGGGTAAATACTTTTTCGCGATCAGGTAATTTCATATATGTTCTTTTTACCGGGTTTAAAGATTGAGAAAATTGTCATGTATTTTCGTGAAAATTTTTCTAATTTATGAGAAAAAAGCAGTGTACATGGATATAGTGAAAGAGTTGCGCAATGCCATTTTTGTGCACTCTGGGATGTTTTTTTTAAGTAAAAATAAGTCGGCGTGTACATGGTGTTAGTATATGTGTTATTTGAAAAAACGCGTAAGGAGTATGGTATTGTGCACTTTTTCCCAATTTTGCAGTGAATATTTGTCATGATTAAGCAGTTTTGTTTGATAAAATTTCTAGCATAAGTGTAATTCGGCTAGTAGATTGTTGGAAGAAGTGTTCAGTAGATAAAAAGAAAAGAAACATGTCTTTACTTCGTGAAGACAAAATGGCGGCGGGGAAAAAAATAGAGGGTTGCTGTAGGAAATTTGGTTGCCAAATTTTCGCCAAAAAATCGCCAAGTTACCATAATGTAAAGATCAACCACAAAAACATCTTTTTATTATTATTTCTAAATAACTTTCCATAACTTGAAGTATTTGAATTTCACTGCCAAAATTATTTCTAAATAACTTCCATAACTTGAAGCATTTGAATTTCACTGCCACAGGGTATTAGCGACCTTTCTACAAAAGATATGTACATAAAGTGACATCATCCTAGATAGTGCAGTTCATGCTGTAAAACAAAATTAAAACATCTTTCAACCATTTGAAATAATGTCACATTTTGAACAAAAAAGCTCAAATTTCTTGTATTGCAAACAGATCCATGACACACTTTTTAAAACATCTTCCATGACACTCTGCTTAAAAGAAAAAATATATAATTTAGGAGGATAAAGATACAATGCACCTAAACAATGAGAATGCTAATGAAAAGAATTGTCAAAAAAATACTCATACTTTAGTTTATTTCAGCCTCCAATAACTGATATTCCAATAGTGGACAAGCAAACATTTTTTAACACATTTTTTTAATAAACTGGCTACTTTTAGACAAATAACCAGAAAGGGAAGTGTCTTCTCTTATGATGCATTTGCTAAGACGATAAATTATGGAATTCAGGAGAATAAAGTAAAGAGTTTTAAGAAATCTGAAGTCTGAAAAAGAGTTGTAAAATGAGTGGTACGAGAAAGGAAAAAGTTAATTGTAAACCTTTTCTTTAAGCTCTGAGCAAAGCTCTTATAAGACGTTTGTTATTCTTCCATAAATTTTGAACAATTTATATTTCTTTATGTTTTAGAAAGAAAAAAAAAAAATTTACAGAGAAAGTGTTTTTCAGAAAGAAAATGTTTACAAAAATTCTGATAGTTTTATATAGCACCATGCCATGTATAATAAGGTAAACGATGACTAGCATTAAAAGTTTCATTTTAATCTTCTTCTAAAAGAGTTCAAAAACTATTAAAAAAATTAAAAAAAAAAAACTGAATATATTCAGTAAAATAAAAACTATGTTCATATTCATTACAAGTGTGCAACCTTCTGAAAAATACTTTTGAATTTCTTTGATAAATTAATTTTAAAATCTAAATAGTAAATCAAAGGAGGTCTGGTTTGAAATAAAAAGACAACTCTACATGTAATAATAATGATAGCCAATCTTTACTTCACAAAATTAGTACAATACCTACTTTATTTATTTATTTTTTAAAGGTCAGATAAATTATGCTTTTGAACATAAAATAAAACATACACATATGTACTACTAATTCAGAAGTCAAACAACAAAAATCAGCGTTATATTTTCAAAAATTTTTGTTTGATTTCTGAATTAGTATTTATTCGGCGTGTTATTGTGTCTTAATACACATATGTGATATGTTAAATTGATTCATTACATAACTCCAAGATAAGAAATAAGTGCAATGTTCAAAATTTCAGGGGCTTCCTTTTGCGTAAGATTTTTTTTCCTTCTACCTAAAATTTCATGATCAACTGAAATTTTGACCTATCATTTGATAGTTTCATGTTCCTTTTCCCCTCATGTTTCTTTAATGTGATTATCACAGCATATCATTTCTTAAAATGATATAAAGCATTGCTCGGTACTCTTCTGTTATCTGGACCAGATTCAGAAATGTATGTATGTGTTCATGTAGGCATATATTATATGCACATATGTATGTATGTGCATGTACATACACACTTATATAACGTGCATACATATATATTTCTGAATCTGGTTCCTGTAACAGAAAAGGGCTCATTGCTCTTAGTGCTACTGAACTAGCAAAGCACTTCTGTTACAGAAGAATGCCCCTGGAGAGGTCTTCCAAAGAGAGACTCGATTATATTCACCTACAAGAAAAAACCCACTAAAGTCCATGTAGTTGGGCCCTTTAATCACAAAGAAAAGAATCAGATATGAATTACTAATGATTATATCTGCCTGGATTGAAGGTGATTAAACTTTTGTGACACACACTTACTAGGATTTTACCTTTATTTGAATAACAGATTCAATTTTATCCTCATTTACTACTGTAAATATTTAATCTATAATTCTCAAAATATAGATGTCAAACTTTGATCAAATAAATATTCATCAAAAAGACAGGTAACGTGCAGAATCGCCCACTTATTTGGCACGTTGTGTTTGGCGCATTTTACGAGAAACCTGATAATTACATATAGTAAGAAACTAAATCACAAATGCAAAAAGTAAGGTAACAAACTAATATTTATAAAGATAATTCTGTGGTAAATATGTACCATAAAAACCGCTTTTCTACACATAAAAATTCTTCATGGATCTCTGCATGCATTTACAATAACGAACTAAATGAATAAATATTTGAATTATTCAAGAAAATATTTACTCATAAAATATCTACTTACATAGAAATTTCAAAAGTTGCTTTCAATATGGTGAGTAAAAAATTACATCAAATGAACTTTACAACACAAAATCAAGAAATATTCTATCGGGTGCAGAGAAGCACCGATAAGCTCATTTGTAAACTAAACATAAATAAAATCAAATTTCATATCGTTAAGTGATGAAAGTTGAAGTTCCAAACAGTATAAACAAAAATAATCAGCGATTACGGTTATATATTGTGAAAATTATTTCAAATATTCGTATGACAGTAATAAGATATATTAGCGAAAAATAGATTTTAAATTTGTTCTTAACACATACATGTGTACTTTTTTACTTGCAATGTAATTTCACTATACAAAAAAAAAAAAAAAAAAAAAAAAAAAAATTAGTTGGTTGTCCTTTAGATTATACAGTAAATTAACCTTTCGTAAATTTAAATAATTTCGTTATTTAATTTAATTTTCACTTAAATTTTAAGATTTATCTTCGTTCTCGATTCTGAGCGAAAGATAATGTTGATTTTTTTTTTTAGTTTGTACTTGGTTAACTTGGCAACATCAAACAAAGTTTATCAACCAACCAAAATGGCAGACGAACAGGATCCATCGTGTACACCGGTGTATTACATGGGTGGATCTGAGGTATATTTAAATACCATCTGTTTTCTAAATGCAGTTATTCACTTCAGATAAATTGTGCCTGTATTACAGTTCAGCGAATACATGGCTCAAAAATTCATATTGACTGAATTTTATATAATTTATGAAACACTGAAACTTAAAACATCTCACATAGTTTTTAATATTCAAAATAAGTTATAAATGAAAACCTGCTGTTTCACTTATTAAACAGAGAACAATGCAGTATTTTAATTTCATCTAATTTGCACAAAGTTTTTCCCTTCAAATACCGTTAACTGAGATGCGTTCCCTACTCAAGTTCTTGAAATTTAATGCGGTTATTTTCTCCTATGCTAATCACATTATGAATCATTCATGAGCTTTATGCTTTTTAAGTGCTGTCCTTATGATTAAACTTTTCTTACTGTTGGTAAAATTAATATTTTTATGTTTGATTGTCATCTTTTTAAATTTTCGTCATAGAATTAAAAAAACGTATTTTCCATAATTTGATGTTCATCCTCTTATGTTTATAGAAAAAAAGTTTTAGTTATTAATGATACAGCGATAAATTAGTTATTGATGGTACAGTGTTTAGTTGTTCACTTCAGATTGATGATTACGTAGTGGGAATTTAATTTTTGTATAACATCTGAAGTTAAGAATTTGGAAAACACAAGTACAATAGTACATCTTTTCATTGGCGATCTGGTACATTTGTGAAATATAGTTGAAGAAATTATTTTTATTGTGCATAAATCTTTTACTGCTTAAAATTTTGGACCAAATTCAAGAGAATTTTACTTTTAAGTAGTTGAAATATACTTTGAGGTAAAGCTAAGTGTATTTGTTATATTTTGCATAAAAGGTAAATTACCTTAATATAATTCTAATATAATTAGTCAAACCTGTACAAATATGAGCAACATGTTTTCTGAAAAGCATGTAGATGAAAAAAAAGTCATATATTGAGTTCAGCAGTGTATTCAGTATACTTAATGAGTTTCGGTTTTCTGTAGTATTGTATTAAAAATATCATGTAAATACTGTTCTGCAATATGTAATTACCTCAGATGCTTCAGTATTTAATATAGACCTTATCAAAATTTTATGCTCAGTTAAATTAGTTTTATGCTGCAAAGGTTTTAGCAGCCTCGCATTGAACACCATCAGAACAGAAAAAGCTTCATGAAAATTAATTAAATTTGTCCTAATAAAGAAAATTTTGATATTTTTTTTTAGAATAATTAAAGCAGCTTAATATTGGAGCACTCAAATGTAGAAGAAAAATGTCTATGTAATTGTGTTTTGTAATAAGAATACTTATTAAATATAAATGTCTATGATTGATTAATGTTAATGAATGTTTTCAGTCTTAGAGTCTGTGGTGTTTAGATTGATTTTATTCATATTTCAGATGATTATTTTTAATTAATAACTATCATTAGAAAAAATTGAGAATAAGTGAAGTTTTTTCTTTGCTCATTATTTTTTTTTAATTATTATGTGACTTTTCATGAAATTTTCAAAATGTTAGCAAATATAAAATTTGTAAAAAATAATTCCCATTGTTTCCTTTTACAAATGAAATTATAATGCAAAAAATAAATAAATAAAATATCTTCTGGCAGACTGTAAAAGTATAAGGATTAAATAATTGATCATTGGTAGTGTTTTACCAAAAGTATATAACAACATATACAATTACAGAATTTCATCAACTATAAAAATTGGCCAAAGATATCAGCAAACGTGCTATTCTGGGAAAAGTTGTACAGACATTAGGTATTTTAGAAGCCGAAGACATGAAAAATTAGCAACGCTTTTCTCAGGAATTAAACTGCTGATCTCTGGAATACACGCCCAGTGTGCAGACCACTACACCATGAAGGCATGCACAGAAGGTGGGAGAAATACTTTATAAAGTCTGAAGAAACAGATCACTCTTTGTTTACTTAGATCAACTCGTTATGTCCATAACATATAAAAAACTTAAATTCCTTGTCATAATTTTTAATAGTGCATAGCCAGTGTTGAAGATACTCTGCTGTATGCTGTTCCATTGAAGACAAGTCTAAATTTTTAATAATTTTTTTCCAATTGCATTTAAAAAATGGATAAAATGTAATTAACTTATGTAATTTTATAGAAGAATTAAACCAACTTACCAAGAATGAATCGGATTTACATAAAGCCAAAATGTTACATCACAATTATCCATTACTAGTGCAAAATTGCTGTGTTTGATGCCAGTTTTGGTTAGATTCAAATCACTGCTGTCTGTGCTTTATAGTGGAGATACATTTCTCTTCTTTGCTTTAAAAAAAAAAAGGAAGATTTGAAAATATAGCCAGGTTTTTTTAGTGTACTAACATATTTATTGTCATTTTCTTTTTTTCTTTTCTTTATTTAATGAATAATATGTAATAATATTTTTTTAATAACTAGAAAAGTATTAGTGGTGTAATAAGAAATTCTTTTATTAGGAATCACTTGAAAAATCAAATAGATTTTACTTGTAGTGTATAATTTTCCACCAGTTTTCCAAAAGTCATCATAGCAATATTCAAATTTGTAGGTGCTGCTTGTGTCATGCATTTTCAAATTATACATGTTCAATTATGTTCAAATTATACAACCTGTTACTGGTTTTGTGATACCTGAAGTATTTCTCTTCTCTGATTTATTACTTACAGCTGCAAGTTCATTTTCAACGCAGCATTTTCATTTTTTATAAGTTGTAGAACATTTTCATATAAAATTACTGAATTCTGTTCTGAAACAATTGTAATTAAAATTTTTATTTTGTGAAGTATTAATATTTATTTATGATCATTTAATTCAATTTATTTCTGTAATTCATATTTATTGATATATTCTGTAATGTTTCCATATTTGCAGAGAACTCGCCACCACAGTGACCCGTCTTCCGACTCAACATGCTTGCCTTTAACTCCTGCGGAAGATTACAGTACATTTGATATAGTGAAAGCCACCCAGTTTGGTGTTTTTGAACGCTGCCAAGAAATAATTGAAGGTGGCTATGATGTAAATAGACCAGATTCTGAAAATGTTACACTTCTTCACTGGGCTGCTATCAATAATCGGCAAGAAATTGTCAAGTATTATATTTCTAAGGGAGCTAATGTGGACACAATAGGAGGAGAACTCCTCTCCACGCCTTTACATTGGGCTACAAGGTATATTTAAGAAATTTATAAACTAGTAGTAGTTAGTTTTTTCCTTTTTTTTTTAATAAGAGGAAGGAAAATAATGGTTGTATACAAAACACTGATTTTTATATTTATTATTTCGTGAGTTCATGTCATATGTTTCTATTTTTAGTGTTCAGAATTTTTTTTTTAGTAAAATTTCAATCACTCTTGCCAAAATTTTAAATGAAAAATAATACATTACAAGTAGTGTGTCAGTTTCATTGTTCCATTGTAGAGGTAAATGTTTGTTTCAACTTAAATTAAAATATCTCGTAATAAGGATGTTATTTTAAAGCTAAAGCTTATTGCTTTGAATTGTAAAACAGAGCATATTAAACAGAAACAGAGCATATTATTGTAAAACAGAGCATATTTACCAAAAGTTCCTGGAATTTATGTTTTCTGCCAAATGTACTTCTGTGCATTACTTAATGGGAACAAAAGGTTAAGTAATTCTTATTTTACAATAACCTGCGAAAACGCGTGCTACTTTTAGCTACGCGAGGGCGTGCATCGGGCGCCATAAGCCTGAAGCGTTTTTCTCAACAAAACAAAAATAAAATTGCTTGTGTAATTGAAAAAAAAAAATCCAAATATTAAAAGCAGATTGTATAAAATACAAAAATATACTTTTAATTTAATAAGTCTAATAAAATTGTATTTTAAAACAATTTTAAGACTGAAATTATTTATCATTATTTATCATCAACAACAAAAATTAAACTGATTTCTTTTTGAGCGCAAATGAAATTTAGCACTAATTTATGCAATATTAAATTTTTACAGCAATAATTTCAAAATAAAACTTTCATTTCACATTTTTTTGCAAATAATTGTGCTGTGTTTACCGCAAATATTTTTCTTCGCACATAGCGCAGAAAATTTGTGATTTTCGGTCCGTTACGCCAAGACTGTAAACTTTTGTGCAATTTTCAACTAACTTTTCAAAGGCATATGTTATCGGAGCCAGTTTATTTATTTCCCTTCTAGAAAAGCGATCTCTTATGTCATCAAATCTCAAACATCTCATTAGAAATTTAAAAAAAAACATTTGTTAGACATTGTTCGATGAAAAAAGTCAAGCATTGTTTCGTCAGTCACCCAAAGGTCAAGAACATTTACGCGAGAAGCCTTGTGGAGTCCTCCAAAATAAAGAAGACTAATAAATGTTCTGATTTCAGTAATATTTGTGAGTCGAGCATCTCTCTATCTTCCACATTTGACGGCAATTGATTCGATATAAATGTTTGCACAATCTACTAAAATTTTTAATATTATTTTATCCATAAGCAGTTGCCAAGAATTCATAGGGAAGGACACAAATTTTGCTTCACAAACATTTCTGAGCAATTTTCTCACAATGTTGTGAGCAAGAGTTCTCACAGCAAGTCTTGTTTTTTTTTATTCCATTTTGTCACATTATATTTGTCAAGATAACAATTTGCTGACGGACACAAAATTACTTAATTCATTACTAGATTCATCACTTGAGTCTAATGCCTCTTCAGAATTCAATTGGTGATCACTAAACTGTTCTTCAACTATTTCTTCGTCCTCTTCATTAATTGTATCTTTATCTGTCGACACTTCGGCTAATAGTTTATGTAGTCTTTTCATTTCATCGTCATAACTCAAATAGCAAGACCATTTTACAACTGCCTTATCTCTCACAATTTTAAATGAAAATGCGAGTGCGCGCCTTGGGCCTGGGAAACCCGGTTACTCAGTTTCTGAGAAAAGATAAAGGGTTAAATTCCAGAAATGCTTGTGAATGACAAGTACATGACCCTAAATGCAGCTACTGAAAAGCTTGAAAAATTTCACCAACTGAAGAAATTTTTGTATTACGTTTTTGTAACGACCGGGCCTCACAGGCCCGACGCACGTTCTCGCGGGTTAAAAATTTGTTTACAGCTTTAATAAAAGCATGGGACATTTCTGATAAATTTATAAAGATAATGGCTTATACTTTTGACAATTAAATTTGTTTAAAAGATTTCATTCACTCACATATTTATTATTCTTTCACATACTCACATATTCATTCTTATTATATTTCCCATGTTTATAAAATTTTAGATGAATTTTGTAAAGATAAATTATTTAACCTTTTGTTCCTATGAAACTCTGTGATAAATTATTTTTTTTTTTCTAATTCATTAATTACCGTGTTTGCCGGCATATACGATGCACCTCCTTTTTTATACGCATTTTTGAAAGATAAAACTTTATTACAGTCAAAAGTCGTTAATCCGGACTCGTCGGGACTTCGGATTATAGATCATCAGTTTAAATCTCGTAAGATGGCATGCAGAAATTTTAAAATTAAAAATATGAAACCGTAATTTATGAAATAAAGAACAATTATGATCTAAAGGGTATCAAAATTTACAAAAAAAAAAGCTTAATATTTATTTGTTTACTTTATTAAACATTTCTTTCAATGTAAGTTGTTTAAGTTGCTTCATTTTATGTGATAATACTTTCTCTTTAATTCTCTTTAATTCTATAAACAGACATAATTTCTTGTTCAGTTACAATCCGCTGTTCAAGTCCCGTAATTGCTGGGCCGAGAATACCGACTAACTTGTCAATCTAAATTTTTTCGTTTTCACTAACCTCTCTGTCACCTTCTTCATGTCTTTATCCATTTTTTGCAGCAATTCCACTTTTTGTTTGATGGACATCGAAACGTACTTTCGTTTTGTAGATCCTTTGGGAGCTCCAGCATCGGAAATTCTATTTGACATAATCGAAAGTTTAAGTTTACTTTTATAAAATTGCTTTTACAGTCTGAAAAAGTAATAAGCCGGATCCAGTTCGAAGATTAAGGAACAACGCAATCATCAACACCAACTGAAATAGATAATTAGATAATTTTAGCTCATACTGTCCGTTATACATTAAACGCGCACGCGAAAACGTATTCTGCACTTGCGCACACGCATATGCGCAGTCGTAAAGGTCTATGCGCGTCGTAAAGGTACGTGTAAACACCTATGCGCGTGTGTCAACGCGGCGCATGCGCAGAAAGTTTTTAGCTTTGAGGTCCGAATTATAGATCATTCCGGATTATGGGTGTCCGAATTAATGACTTTTGACTGTACTGACTATTATAATGAATTTACAGTATTTTCAATATAAAGTAATACAAATACAAAGTAATACTTTCTGAAAATACCCAGTCTATAAGTTGCTTTTTTTAGGTCCTCTCCCTGATTCCACCAAGTTCTTATCATTTTCTCATTTGGGGTAGTCCGAAATACCTCTCTGCAGCTCTGTTTCCATGTTCTTTAGCATACACAATCACATGTAGCTTGTATTATAGCAATACTGACGTTGTTTCTGAGCCATAATTTGCCAATAAATTTAAGAAGATTGAACAGTAGAAATTTCACGCACTTAAATGTCGTTCTTAGAAATTATAAAGTTTAAACAAACCCAGCTGTGATCATTGATGACAGCACATTCACTGAACTCTACGTAACTGTAATATTCACACACTCCGCAAGGAAACAAGGAAAAAAAAATCGCATAACTCCGAATAGAGGAAATTTCCAAAAATGAAGGTAATCAAAAACTGAGTATCGATGTATAAGATGCAGTATCTAGGTATAAGACGCAGTATTGAGAAATGAGACGCACCCCGTTTTCAGACCTATTTTCAAAGAAAAAAGTGTGTCTAATATGCCAGCAGATACGGTATTTTATGAGATTTAAATAAATACTATTTTATTATTTTATTTTATTTTATTTTTATCTTCTCAATCTCAATGGATATTGCCATTCAAATTATTCAGTTGAAAAATGGTTTTCCAACAATGAAAAATCACTCTTTTACATTTAACAATTCTATTACCTGAAATGTTTGAAAAATTTGAGCAATTTTCAAAAATTCTCCAAAATTTCATGTGAACCTTATAAAAAAGATTTTTTTTTTTTTTTTTCCCCATAAAGAGCTTGTTTTAAAAAATTCTAAAAGGTATCTAATTAATATTTTTGATCATTGTTTTAAAAATTTCTAAACCTTTATTACAGATAATTTTTTGGATGTTAACATTTTAAAAGGTAGTTAATAAAAGAATATAATTATTATATATTACCAAAAAATTTTTAAATTAGCTTTCAATTTGAAATATGGAAAAAAAATGTACATATATTTATGAAATGGAAGGAAGAAATAAAAAATTGTGCAGTAAATTTCATTGCTGATAATTTTTAATGCTAGTTAATCCTTAAACCAGTCATGTTTGTTATTTTTAGGTTAATAAAACTAAATGATTAGTAAATTGAAAAATCCTCAAATAGCTGATACAATAAATAATTTTCAAAGAATTCAGAAATTAAATTAAAAATTTCATACAAATTTTAGTTAGAAGTTTCTTTCTGCTCTCTCTGATGTAACAGTAAAATTCTGATATGCAGTACAAAGCTGAAAATCTGGACATCCAATATCCGGACCTCTAGATCATAAGCAATTTTTTTCCTAAAAAATTTTTTTTATGCTTTACTTTTGAAAATTTCATATTTTTTCATAATAAAACATGTGAAGAGACCGGGTTCTTAATTTCGCTTTTGCAGTGATGCCAACTTGGCAAATCATTGTTTGTTATTTTTTTCTTTCATCACTACCTAACTATCAACATGCTTCAGCTTGAGAATCCACCCAGCAATGTCTAAGCATTTTTTTTTTTTTTTTTTTTTTTCTAATAGTAGTAACTGAATACCAAAGAGCATGGTAGCCTTTTATGTTGACATTGCGCATAGCAATGATTCTGCGAAGTACTGAGTGTCTTGACAAGGAGAAATTTAACAAATTCATTTCCATGTACAAAAAACTGATTTTGTAAATGTTACTTGTAGGCCAAAAGATAACATTGAATATTTAACCACTTAACTGATTTGCTAGAACACCATTTGGGTGCCACGAAAAGGGACTTTTTTTATTTGCCTGTACACCACTCAGGCAGTGTATTTTACTACACCAGTCCACAGATTTTTCTCATCTTTTATGCATTTTTTACTCTGCAGTGTTTCTAATAGATGTCTCTAGTAGTCTAAGGGATATTGGATAGTAAAATCAGTTCAATGATACGTTTTTACAGCTTTTCATTAGTGAAGAAATTCAACATGTTTAGTGTATTAGGCTTTGCGAATAGTATTTCTTCTGAATTTTGTCATGAAATAAAAGAATAATGGGTGACCGTAAATGGCTCATAACAAAATATAATTCTGATATTGGATCAGATAACAAATCTGAATTTCCTATAAATGATTGTGTTAGTCCTGAAAGTTCTTTATTGGAATTCTCTAGTGATGATGAGAAGATCTAACTCAGGCTTGAAACTTTTGTGAAATGGGAACTAGTAACCCTCCACCACCACCTCTGCAATTTCCTTTCACAGCTAATTCACTTCTGTCACATTTATCTCCTGTAAAGTGTTCTTTCCAGTTCTGCAGTTTCGTCAGAAAAAAGCCAATTTTATGTAAAAATACCTTAATTTAATAAACGCAGTAATTTGTAACAATTTTAACTGCTGATTTAAATGCATATAATCAAATAGAATACAAAATTGTTTATAAAAAATATGCGTACTTTTCGTCGCAAAATGGCAGGAAAACGAAGCCGTTAAGTGGTTAAATTGAGAATAACCGATTTATTTTTCAAATAATCTGAAATTCTAGAATTTCTAGAATTTAAGGAAGTGGTTTACAGCAAAATTTCAGACCTCATAGAGACTGCACCAGATCACAAAATGTTCAGTGCCAGCCTTGAAGGAGCCTTAAGTATATGTGAAAGTATATTAAGTATGTGTGTGTATTTATTCAGGACTCACGTAAGCCTTAATCATGCATGGAAAATAGGTGTAAGTATAAATAACTGATACAGTAAAAAGTCATTGATTCGCACACCCATAATCTGGAATGATCTATAATCCGGACTTCAAAGCTACAAGCGTTGATGCATGCGCGTAAGACCTTTATGGCTGCGAATATGCGTGTGCGCATGCACAAAATACGTTTATGCATGTGGGTTTAATGTATAACGGACGGTATAAGCTAAGCTAAAATTATCTAATTCAGTTAATGTTGCAGATTGTGTTGTTCCTTAATCTTCGAATTGGATCCGGCTTATTATTTTTTGCAGACTGTTAGAGCAATTTTATAAAAGTAAGCTTGAACTTTCGATTATGTCAAATAAAATTTCCGATATATATTTACTAATATGTAAAGGATCTACAAAGTGAAAGTATGTTTCAAAGTCCATTAAACAAAAAGTGGAATTGCTGCAAAAAATGGATAAAGGCATATCCTTCGTTTCTCTAACCATTCCGAAATCTGTTTATCAATTTCACGCTGCTCTGCGGTGGGGGGTGGGGAGGGGGAAATGCCGCGGCACGCAATGAATTCGAAGTTAATCTGTCAGTGCTATCCTTATCTTCAGAGCAGATGTTTTTATTTTATTTGGCTTATAATTCCTTACTAAATGTAGTATTTCATCTCGTTGTACTCCTGCTTTGATATGATTTAAATCAAATTCTTCATCATTATAATTCACTTCCGATAGTGAAGAAAGTGACACAGAGGTTATTGAAAGCGAAAAAATGTCAATTGACAAATTAGTCGGTATTCTCAACCCAGCAATTATAGGACTTGAACAGCGGAACTTTGTAACTGAACAAGAAATTATGTCTGTTTATAGAATTAAAGAGAAAGTATTATCACATAAAATGAAGCAACTTACATTGAAAGAAATGTTTAATAAATTAAACAAATAAATATTACGCTTTTTTTGGTAAATTTTGATACCCTTTAGATCATAATTGTTCTTTATTTCATAAATTATGGTTTCATGTTTTTAATTTTATAATTTCTGCATGCCATCTTACCAGATTTAAACTGATGATCTATAATCCGGAATCGCCGAAGTACCGACGAGTCCAGATTAACGACTTTTGACTGTATAACTCAATCTTAACTTAGCCAGTATGTAATAGAAGCAAGATAAAATTTTGGAGAATATGTCTTTAGTAACCAATAGTGGACACTAGCTAAGCTTTGTGATTGTAAGCGTAAATTTGAAGTTCTGCAGATATCGCAAAAAGTGAAATTTTCCAATTAACGAAATTTTGAAATTGAGTGAACTAAATGAATGTTTATAAAAAATGCAAACAGTTTTATGTAACTGAACCACATAAATGTAAAATTAAAACCATATGTGCATTCCTGCAGCTGCAGAAAAATGATGCATTTATGTTTTAATGGTCATTAAAAAAACAATCTGTGATTTATCACAAAATTTGTTAGCCAGTTGATGACCAGCCCTCTGCAAAATCAGGTATAACTCTGCATCACCTTGAATGTGACCTAGCAGAGTGCATGGAGCATCAGTAAATAAGAATGGATAACATTTCTATAGTTATATTATAGCAGTTGCACCAGAAATTATATGCAAAAAATTATTATAAAGGGCCATGTTTTTACATTTTTGCTATTCCTTGGAGTTTTCTGCTTGATTCCCTTCCCCCTTCCTACAAATTTTGTGCTTGGCAATCCCCCCCCCTTCCATGGCAAACAGTTGCTGAAGTTAGAGGGAATATTGCTTGTCTTAATTTTTTGTTTGTTAATTGTTCATGTTTTAATGTGGTATGTCTATTAAATTAAATTTAATTTTAAATTTGATAAATGAGTTTTATTTTCACTTATGTACATTTAATTATATTGTGAAATTTGTAATTAATGTGTTTGCTTTTTCTAATGATTGTAGCACTTTTAAAACTTTTTTCTTAATTAACTTAATTTTCTTAATTAACTTTTTTCAAATAATTTCATTGTGGTAATGCTATATGTGATATAAAACTTTTTTTTAAGCATGTTAAATGTAATTATTATCATGGTATAGGCAAGGACATCTTGCAATGGTTGTGTTACTGATGCGTCACGGAGCTGATCCAGCCATTACAGATGGAGAAGGTAAATATTTTAGGAACTACTCTGATATGCGCCCTCAAGTCGCCAAATATTTTTGGCGAGAAACTTCACGCTGCCATATTACTATCGAAATTTTTTGTCTACATTTTGAACTTTTAGCCTAAAATGTCTCCAAAAACGCGGTTTTCGCACATGCAAAAACTACGTTTTGAACACACAATTTAGCTAAAAATCCGAAACAAAAACAAAAAATTTAGATAGCAAAAACGTAAAGTTTCTAACCAAAAATATTTGACAAGAATCCATGTACTACAAACTACGCTGACCTTGCTTTAATAAATTAACATAACAACAATAAATTTCAAAGAATACCATGTACACAGCATCCCGTTTAAACTTTAAAAAAATTCTACGAATTGCACAATTTAGGCGAGGAAGGAATTTACGATCTACGCACTCCTCGCTTTAATAAAATAACATAACAACAATAAATTTCAAATAATACCATGTACACAGCATTCTGTTTCAACTTTAAAAAACATCTACGAATTGCACAGTCTAGACACTAAACAACAAAATAAATTTCAAACAATTTAAAAAAACAACAATAACGACAGAAATTCATACTAAAGAACCAATGAACATAACATGCTACAAGATAAGAACAAGGATAAAATAAAATGCACTTACCATGAATTAATGCATTTTCGAATAGCAGAAATATAAATTTCATACCGCCTTTAACATGCCGCCACGTAATCACTATCGTATTTACATGACAGCCTGACACACTATCCAGAAAATTTATACTATGGTTCACAAATAAATAAAATCACAAATCCCTACTTTTATCATGCATTGCCATTAAAAATAATCTCTCAGACCCTCTTTCCACAGTTCCAAATACCCACTACCCCTCAACAGGATAGCCACAATCATATTTCCATTTGCTGAACTTCAATTCAACAACTCTACCATCAACAACTTTATCTTTCCGTCCCATCTTCTCAGACACAGAGGCGAACCAACGAGCTCCAGCGAAAGATTTTTCAATGTCAACAGGGTTGCCATAGAACATGCAATCGTGCCAAAAACCAGCGCAGAACACATATCGCCACATTTGGTGAAATTAGGGCGTATATTAGAGTTGTACCATATTTTATAATATATTTTGTTTTTATTATTCTTAAAGTTAAAAGTGCTACTATAAAATAAGTTTTTCTTTTCATTCAAATAATAAAATTTTCTTGGGAAAGAGAATGAAATATTTTAAGTATCATTAAATTTGGCTATTATTGCATTGAATTAGATTAATGTTTTAATTAAAATCTTTCAAATGTTATTGCTGTATGCATCGGTTTCTATAAATTAAAAAAACAATCTGGAGAATCATTACTCAGCAATTATATAATAATTATGTTATATATACGTATGTAAGTTAGGACAGCAAAGTTCTGTAAATTATGTCATTGGATGCATGTGCACAGCGATGGACAAACAAGGAAGCAGAGAAAAAATATTTCATAATGTGTGTGACCATATCTGAGCATGGTGTAGGAATAAGGGTTATGAATTTCTTTTCATAGCATTTCACTGTGTGAATGTAGTAGTTGTAATACCATGCAGTGGCTGTAAACTGGAGCAGCAAACATATTTTAAGTTCTCTTTCAGGTTTAGTAAATCTGTGAAAGAGATTATGACATAAGTGAACATGAGGTTATCCAGAAAAAGCAACAACAAAAAGTGACATGCATGACATGTTCTGGAAAATTTAATTTGAAGAATCCATTGTGTATGTCTAGAATATGTTAAAGCTTTTGCTTGATTCCTTATTCAGATATCTGGCCACATTCGTTCCTTATTGTGTAATCATTCACCATACCTAACTGATCTTACCTCAGCATATAACTTTCTGTTCCTGAACCTGAAACAAACTCTAAAAGGATAAAAAAAAGTTTGAATATTCCAGAGTCATGTGATAAGTATTCTTCATATGATGCCAAAAAAGGATTTTGTCTGTAGTTTTTAGAAATTGCACAGTCTTTGTCAAAAATATGTTGCAAATGATGGACATTACTTCAAAGGACTATAATACATTTTATCTAAGCATGTTTTATTTAGGAACACATTCAATCAGCTTTATCTTTATATCATGTATATAGAATCTCTGCTATAGAACTATCTATACTGTATACATATTTGAGAATAGTTTTTGTTAAATTGTCTGGAGGCTTTTAGACTGTTACATTTTTTGTTAACTTATAATCTTATTTAAAATGATAGTTTCTAATACTTTTTTAGTAATGAAAATCTTTATTTTAAACTCTATAAGAATTTCACTTCTGAAATTTTGAACAAATAATTGTGGAGATTATAAGTTGTGAAAGTTGTTGGAGATTCTCCATTCAATCAAATGTAATTTGAATGAATGGTTTAACTGCTGTAATTTTAAACATATATTTAATTTAAAAATTTCTTTTTTATGTTGCAGGTTGTCAGTGTATTCATTTAGCTGCACAGTTCGGGCATACGGCTATTGTAGCATATTTGGTGGCTAAAGGTCAAAATGTAAATGCTGCCGATAAGAATGGTATGACTCCTCTCATGTGGTCATGCTACCGAATTTCTATGTGAGTGAAAAAGAATATTTTATTTCCCTTGGTCATATTTTGATAGTCAGTAATAATTAAAAAATATATATATAACTTAGTATCATTTCCATCATGTTAATATAAATTAATCTTAATCTGTATAACTCAGAATAGTGTGAATGTGATTGCAAATAAATGTAATATGATTGTAAGATACTAAATATGTAATATGATGTACTGAAAATCTAGGTTAATAGATTTCAGTAAATAAGTAAATTTCAAAATTAGTTTACATTGGCAATAATTTTCAGATAAACAGAAATGTTTCTAAATAGTTTTAGCTTACTAATTTTCATAACTTATTCATCTTATTTTTTATAAATCATATTATAATCATTTCTTTTAAAATTGCATGAATCTAAAATTTTCTTTCACTAAGAGTCCTACCAGTGGCCAAATTGTTAAGACTGTGAATACTGGTAGTTCAACCTGGCTTAGGCTCTATCCCTGGTAAATGGGCTTCTGCAGGGTTAGTTTTTATTGTTTTCTCCATGCGTAATGTGAATATGAGTAAAATTTTCTCAGAAAGTCATCCATAAAGGCATCTCCTCTCTTCTTACACAGGTTGTCCTCATGGTTGTGCTAAGCATACTGTGCTGGTTATCTTCAGATTCTTTCTTTGCCTGGTTTCTAATCCCTCTGTGATATCTGGCTACTTTTGTAGAAAACCTTTCTTTGATATCTGTAGCTTTCTTTTCAGAACTTGGAATCTTAATGGTTTCTGACTGCATTTCATAAGATTTTGACAAAAATTTTGATGTAACTGCATTGTTTGCTATTCTTCAGCATGATTACATGAAATTGAATTCTGATATGCATAGATACATGATTTAAGAAATGCATCCTGTTTAAATAATGGATGGTCAACTTGCACATGATACAATGATTCAGACAAGGGCAATAAATGTTCAGAAAGAAGCACAGACACTCAGTAATTTCAGTGAGTCTTCCCTAATGAGCAAGTGCTTTCCCATCAGATTTTGTAAGCACAGGTGCTAAGTGTTCACTCTATAATAAATCAGACATGTATTCTTTGAACTTTTTCCTTTAAGCCTAAGAAATACTTAATTATCAAATGCAGTATATTTTGGTAATATTGCTATGCTAGATAATAATTGGTAATATTGCTGTGCTAGATAAACTGTATTCCATTCTGTGCACTTCAGTGTAAGAGTCTAGTACTTAAATATTAGCCAGCACCCCGTACCAGTGCCACCGCCAATACAATCCTCAGTTATGCTTTCTTGAATGTGTTCCAGCAACTCTAAAATCCTGCTCACCTCATTGTTTGTTTGTAAGCATTGCAGCAACTCTAGAAGCTGTGATAGATGGTAGTCTCAGCAGTTTATTCTTGGAAGCCATCTAGTATATAAGTAACAAGTTTTCTTTGTATGCTTTAATATAAGATTGCTTTTCATCATAAATAGATTACCACCAGCATCCAAGCAATAAGTCTCTGAACACACATGCAAGGCATGTGTGTTTTTCTCTATATGAAACATGGGTAAAAGCCAATTTTCCTTGCAAAATTCTCCATGAAGGCATCTTCCCTTAGGTACACTGCACACAAAAAAAAGAGGGGACAGATCTATATCTCCCATTCTACTGGGACGATTGACAAAATGCAATTTATGTTTTTCATGTCTCAAAAGTGTGACTTAGGATATATATTAGATTTATATATGGCATTGTCTAACATAGGTATTTTGACACAAAATCGGACTTTTTCTGAAATAACATACTGTTACGAAATGTACACGTGCGGTAAGATGGCTTCCCCACAAAGCAGTTTTAGAGTGGCCATAAAAAGGCAAGGGAAAGCAGGGTTGCCACATTTGGCAAGAAATTGCCCATTTAGCAACAAAGTTGGCAATATACCATGGACAGATGGAGAACCTTCTGGAATGAATTCTTACCAGTTTAGCCCAGAATGTTCTCGAACACAAGCCGAAAGCTATATAAACTCGCCTAGAGTGCGAGGGAGTGCCTCGTCCAGAGTGAGAGATAGTTAGTATCAAGTCGGTGTCTCGTCTAGCGAGTCAATCGAGTTGACAGCCGGGCAGCAAGTGTCGAGTGCACCGAAAGAGTCTCGTAGTGTCTCACGGTTAGTTCATCTTCGAGAGAGCGTGTTGAGCTCCGGGAACGACTGAACTGAAGAGTCGGAAGCCGTGCTCTGTGTGTCTCGAGTGCATCACAAGTTGTAGCGTGGAGATTCTCGAGAGTACGTGGAGTTCCGAGACCGACCAAGCAGAGTCAGAAGCTGTACTCTAGTCCTTTGCCGTGAAAATGTCTCCACCGTGATAGCCTGCTAACCTGGAGGCTGTATCGCTGATCCTGTCAGCATGTTTATAGTAGTTCATCGATGACTGTAAAAATGTGTTTTGGAGCTGTCCTGACAATACTGGCCAAATAAGTGTGTTTCGATACTTTATTGTCAAGTGTCTTCATTATTCATTCCAAATCCATACGAACCTCTTACGAAAGTGAAGGAAGAATATGAATATAATGTAACAATACCAATATTTTTCCATATTTCAATCCTACGACTCAAATTATGGCTAGATATTAAATTTGTAAAATTTCGTGCGAAATTTATGGAGAAATTCAAAAATTTATTTTAGTGCAATTTTTTCAGTTTGCACCAAAAATAATTCACCTGGTGAACTTCTAAATATATAGCAGCCTATTTTCCTTTCCCTTCCATTGTGGCGTAGCGGAGCAGGAAAAAAGGCACCTTATTCCTACCTTATTGCATTGTGCATGAGCGGATAAAAAGTCACATTGTTCCTACTTTCAAATAATTTTAACAAAGTGCCTAAACCTCATTTGATGTTTTATCACTTTCAACAAATATGCCAAATTTCAAAACACGCCAATAAATTCACGTATGTCTTCGGAAATTTTAAATAAAAATCTGTAGTTTTTTAAATCTGCTAAGATGGTATACTTAGAAATAAGTCTATTTTAAGATGATGGTAAAAATTTCATAGATTCAAGGTTTTTTTTAATTCATAGATTCAAGGTTTTTTTTTAATTTGTAAATTTTTTTAAAATTATAAATTTTAAAAATAAATCATAAAAAAATGGGTGAATTTTATTTGGAATGAAACTGAATTTCAAAATGTGAGAGAAAGAAACTAAATTTAATAAAAGAGGAGAGATTATTAACTATATACCAAAATCAATTAGCATTGAGGAGCTAAAATTTTGAGAGCTAATTTTTTAAAAACTACTTGTGCGATTTTTTACAAAACTTTTTAGTTTGGTAATATAGAAAAAAATTGGTATGTGATTTCAAAGTCTGATTTTGTGTCAAAATACTTATGTTATAATAATGCTATATATAAATCTAATATATATCCTAAGTTTTGCTTTCGTGTCATGAAAAACGCAGTTTGAATTTTGTCAATCGACCTAGTAGAACGGGAGCTACAAAACTGTACCCCATTCCTTTTTGTGTGCAGTGTACATAGTTCAGGTATACTATGTCATAATCAAATAAAACAAACCAATTCATGATAATTTTTTTAGAACCAGCATATAAAATTGAAGTAATTATCTAGTTTTATTGAAAGTTTTCTGCCAAAAAACATTTTTAATAGAGTTCAGAAAAAAAAAATATGAAAGCAGTACCTTTAGTATAGGTAGTAATCATCGAAATCTATGATTTCCTACCAATCTGGTAGTTTTTCAAAGCCTTCAGCCCAGAAACTTGTTTTCTTCATTTTCAAGAACAGATCAACCTCATTTCAGATGTGCTGTACAGAATGGAAGATAGCACCAGCAAGATGTAGCCGCAGTTGTGAAAAAAGTAGGAGCAATATTGGGCTTTCAGAACTCCCATCTATTAGCTTCCCCTTAAGTACATGATAGCCTAAGGTACGGTTTCCCCAAATGAATTTTATCAGCTCATCTTTATTAGAGATGGTCTTGTCCTTAAAGAAGAATCTTTTGAGGTTCCTGATCTTTAGCTTAAAGGTGACTTATTATACACTCGGGGGGAGGGGAGAGCAGCTTCTTTGCGAGTAGCTAGAAAATATATAATTTGAACAATTGACACCTGCTTATTCATTAATGAAGGGAGGTGGAAGAAATTGCTCTGAATCTCAAATAGAATTTCAGATGTTAGGATTTTTTAAAGAAACAGTTGAACAGAATTCCGAGGGTTAACACGCATGCCATCATCGATAATCTTTCACTCTTGGTTTCGATTGCCATTGGCATTTCCATTGCCACCAGCACCATTGATAGAGATGCACGCAGTTTTTCGACATGAAATTTGTAAAGAAAAAGTGTCTGTGATATATCAGAAGGTACAGTAAATGGTACTTATGTATTGTCTGGAACACTGGGAGTTTATACCTTGTCTGGAACACTGGGAGTTTATACCTAGGTATAAACTCCCAGTGTTCCAGAATGCCCAAAACTGTGGTAGTGATGTACATAATTCTTCAGGCAGCCAAGCGTATAACAATAAATAAATCATGATAGAAACTTTTTGGCACAAACTTGATTTTTAAACATGTGCTTTTTGGATTTTCCTGCAGGTGAAGAAACTGGTGTAAAATTTCTGAATTAATATAGTATTTTACCACAAAATCACTAAAGAGAACAATCACTTTAAATCTCTTCTTATTGCCACAAAATTTTCACCAGAAAAAAAAGGAAACAAAACCTTCTTGTAACTAGGTGTGTTGATTATTTTTTGATGGAGATGGGGGAAAAAAAACTAGGTTTAATGTTAAATATTTATGTATGTAATGAGTATTTTTTTTTACAGTTATGATTCTTTATTGATTTTTTTATTTTTATTTTATTTTTATTTTTTATTATTTATTTTTTTTTTTTTGTATAAAATATCTGTGTGTGTAATTTGATATGTTAAATATCTATGTATGTAATCAGTATTCTTTTACAGTTATGATTCATTTTTTTTTCTTTTGTAAAATTCATCAAACTGTATAAAGATGGTTGTGCCAATATGCTATTATCAATTAAATTCTAATATACAGAAGAATTTCATTATTTTTTACATTATATAGATGGGAATTTTCTAAATGAAAATGTATTGTTGTATAATCATTATTATTCTAGGAATGACCCTACAAGGTTACTTTTAACTCTTGGTGCTAGTCTCACTATGGTTGATTTACATCATAAAAATACTCCTCTTCATTGGGCTGTGTTTGCCAGAAACAACAGTGCTATTTCATTACTGCTTAAGGCAGGAGCAAGCTTAGATGAAAAAAATGCTGAGGTAAATTAATGTATTTTAACTTCAATAAATAATATTTTTTATTATGTATAGTGTTTTATAAAAAAAAATCTGATGTGGATATTACAAGAATAGACTGTTAAATTATACACATTTTTTTGCTGCACTTTATTTAAACTTATTTCCTTGAATTATTCTAACTTAATTAACTGCTCTTTCAAGACAAGTTGAAAATAACATCAAAAATTTTGAAATTAAATATTCTGATACAATTTTTATTATGTTGTTGTTGTTATTGATCCTAACTGGTTAGCCATTAAACTAGACCAGATTCATGAGTCGAAGAACCATCATTAAATCCGAAATGAATTTTTATGACATGGGAGTCTAATTTTTTATACTTTTTGTGTTTTCATAATGTGTATTAAACTTTCCCAAATATAAGTAGAGGAACCGGAAGTTTGCTTAAAAGCTAGATTTTGTTGTTGTTGAAAATTAATTTTTATTTAAATTTGATGTTGCCAAAACATGAATATTTTTGTCATTTAAAACACTTCTGTAACTGGAAGTACAGGGTTATCCAAATTAAACTTCTCCAACTCAGAGGCCTGTGCAGAGTGTTGTATGGGTCATAATGTGATGAAATTTTAAAAACAGACACTTCAGATCACGCGCTCGAGATGTATTAAACAAAAAAATTAGTACAAGAAGTTGCCAACAGGTGGTGCTGCAGATCAACAAGACATTCTACAGATGTTCTGTATGTGTGCCGTGGTTCTCCACAACTCTTTCCATTCGCAAAGCAGTGTGTTCCACAGCAGAACGCAGTAAGTCCACATTAATTCCACGAACACGTCAAATAATTGCATCTTTCAGATGTGCCAAGGTTGCTGGGTGTTCTCGGTAGACCCGATCCTTTAAGTATCCCCATAACCAAAAGTCGCATGGCGTGAGATCAGGCGAGCGGGAAGGCCAAGCTGTAGGGGAACAGCGGCTGATCACACGTGCATCGGTAAAAGTTGCCCGTAGCCCCTGTTGAACGCCATGAAGAATATGGGGAGGTGCACCATCCTGCATAAATATCGTGTCCTTGAGGCGGCCACATTTTTGCAGTTCAGGGATCACAAACGTTGTCAACATGTCCTGATACCGTTTTCCTGTGATAGAGCAGGTTTTGAACCCTGTTGGAGTCACCTCTTAAAAAAATTAAGGCCCAATGACGAATGTTGCAGTGAAACCGCACCATACAGTAATCTTTGGAGGTTTCAAGGGCACTTGATGGATTGCGCGCGGGTTTTCACTTGCCCAAATGCGGCAGTTGTGTGTATTCACTTGAACATTCAAGTGAAAATGGGCCTTATCCGTCCAAAGGATGTTCCACGGCTAATCAGCATTGACTTCCATTCTGGCAAGGAACTGCAACACAAATGTTTACCGAACTACAGGATCCCCGTCGGACAGCTGATGACGACTATGGATTTTGTAAGGAAAATAACTGGGGATTCGATGCATCACACGCCAGACGGTCATATAGGGCATATCAACAGCACGAGAAACAGTTGGCACACTGACAACACCATGTGGCAATTGACTAGTGGGGTCCACAACCGCCAAAGCAACATCTTCTACGCATGCAGATTCCACAACCTGTCGTCCTCTACCTGGTAAAATTTCCAGCTCGCCCGTTCTTTTGAACTTCTTCATCATGTCTCGTAGAGCACGTGGTGACATTAGTCCTCAGCGTAAGATCTTCAGCCGACGGAATGCTCTTATCGCAGCACAGGAGTTCTCGCCATTTTGGTAGAAAAGTTTCACTAACAGAGCTTTGTCTTTAAAAGATGCCATTGTGCATCAGCGAGCTGGAAACAACTGCCTGTTCAGGGCCTGTCTTTCACTTTTGTAGGGCTCGTCTTTTGGACACGTTGCGCAGAAGCTTTATTTCTGCAAATCACGTTGCTGCAATATGCACATTACTAGTGTTACAGCCCCACCTATCGGCACCTTCTTGTACTTTTTTTTTTTTTTTTTTTTTTTTTGTGTGTGTGTAATGAATCTCAAGCGCATGATCTGAAGTGTCTATTTTTAAAATTTCATCACATTATGACTCATACAACACTCTGCACAGGCCTCTGAGTTGGGGCCGTTTAATTTGGATAACCCTGTATATGACTGTGACCTACAGTTGTAAAAATAAGAACAGGGTAAAGGTTTTTAAGCTAGTTACGGGGTTGGGTGTTTATATATATGTGTGTGTGTTTATATATATGTATGTAAGAAAAATAAAGAATATGTTAAAGATTAAATTAGCTATGTAAATTTCCCTTCTGTATTCTAAAAATAGTAACTCCTCTCTGCACTGCGTCATTCGGAGACTATTCTATGTCATATGATTCTTACGTAATTATAATGATGTAAATAGAACTAAAACTCAACCAGCCAATAGTAATTTTACAGCAATATTAATGCTTTGAAAACCAAAACTAACTCAGTCTGACTTAAGATTTCATCCTGCACATAACGCACTTACTTTCTACGCTTTCCCTTAGCTGGACTGCAGTCTGTCTGCTGCTTCTTTCCTGCTGCAAAGTTATCAAAAATGTAAGCCTTTTGTAAGAGGCACATTTAATGTGTCAACATGTATGTAGTTGCAGCATGTTGCTGAAAATAAAACTGAAGATTTAATCTGCCTTCGCCTCCAATTTCCTGGTCATTGCTTCTGAGTTTGAATATATTACATATATATTTATATGTGTTTGGTATTGGTGATTGAAATAAAAAAGGAAGGTGCACAATTAGATGTTATAGCAGTTCCATATACAGAATTTCAATGTTCTATCGCTAATCATTTTGTAATTATGCAAGATACATACAGATGTCATGAAAAAACCCTTTTGGATCAATTTTACAATCGATTTTGAAAAAAAATAAGAGTCCTTTATTCCATACATGCAGATGTCGTGCAAAAAAAATGTCAAAATGTGTATTTCCGTTGAAATATACCCAAATTTTGGGCAATTACAATACTTCCTTTAATTCTTACAAGGAAGTAAAATTATCCCTTTAAATCAAATCCCTTCATTTTAAGTTTATTAATTTATTGAGTATTAGGATTTGTATAATAGCAACAAGAATGATACCACCCACCACTGAAAGAGGGCATTATGTGTCTAAGGGCCTATAAAGTGGTATTGAGGGGAGAAAAAAGGTAATAAGAAAACATATTTGGAAAATCTGCTTATCTAAGCATTTGTCAAACAAACATTTAAAGAACAAAATGACAAAGAAACATACAAATGAAATTTTTAAAATTAGGCAGAAAAGTAAACTTATTCTGGCATAGATTCTGCATAAAACTCTATCAATTTATTGTTTGAAGGCAGTCAGACACAGGTCATTCTTCTTCAAGACCAAAAAGATTTTTGCAAAAAATTCCCTTCTTCAGAAGAAAAAAGTTTACACTTTTGATGAAGAGGGACCTATATTGCCTTCAGTCAATCAATGATGAATCAAATTTATTGAAAACTACGACAAAATAAGTTGCTGTTTTGCCGAATTTTAAATATTTGCTTCTTTATATAACTATTACACTTGCACACATGTTGTCCATACAGTGTGTAGGCTATTTCTTTATTTAAGGTAAGTTTTAACTATAGCCTAAAGCTTTAAAGTTGTGACCATAAGCCCTTATTTGCAGTGATATCTAAAATGCTCAAGAAACATGTTCTTTCTCTATATGTGACTGGGGATACTATGACAAGAATCTGTGCATGATTTGTTAAGCTCATTACTGTCAATACTTTGAGAAGCCTTCAATTATTATCATTCTGTTTCTGTAGTATGTGATAATTTTTAAATTTCCGTAATGTATTTCACTGTAGTACAAGTGAAATAAACACCTAAAAGCTTCAAAGTGTATTTCAGTACAGTCTTTAATACCTAAAATTTTGCAGTGTATTTCAACTTTTTAGTGTATATCAATGTAGTGCAAGTGCAGTAAATATCTCAAAATTTCATGCTGTATATGCAGTATTAATTTTTTTTTAACCTCATGTTAATTTAACCTCAGTCTGAGTCCCCCCCATTACCTTCAATATTATATATATAGTGTCTTTTATTTTCTTATTAAGTATTAGGATTTGTATAATAGCAAAATGGGAACTGTCTGCTTTTTGTATCAGAATATTGCTGAATAGTAATGAAAAGTAGAAAAAGCATGTTATTAGGATTATTTCATGTCTGAGGTTGGCCTTGACAGTCTTGCATTCCTTATTTTGTTTGGGCCTGTGTGCTAGGTAAAGAAAATTCTGTAGTTTTTAAATCAGCTGTTGTTAAAAGTTAAAGAATAAGTTATTAATAGTAGTATATTGTTGAAGAAGGTCACAAAACTTTAGTTTTTTCCTGCCTTGCAAGTAGATAATTTCTGAGATCTTTGGGGACGATTTCATTTATTCACCTTGGCAACATTTTTTTCAATGGACTGACTGAAGAATTCGGTCTACTTTTCAATATTTTTTTTTTTTTTTTTTTTTTTTTTTGTTGTTTGAGTTCTTTACTTTTCATTTGTTTTTGTTTCTTTTTTGTATTTGCATGTGTTGCATAAACTTAAACACCTTGAAGGTTTTTAACATGGAAATTAATTTTGTATAATGCCGTGAATTAGCTTTTTTAAAATATGGCTGCCTTATGCATTATGGAAGCCGAAAAATATAGGCAAATTGCTAAGAGTGTGTGTAGAAAAATTGATCCAGGGGAAGCCAGATTATGCTTACATTCAGCCATGCAGTTTACTCATTGTTTTTACAAAGAATTAAAATCTGCTGATAAAACTGTCATATACTGGAGTAGCTAAGCTATCTTTGAGAAGTTTTAATTAACCCCTTCTCCAAAAAAGTGACGTCTACATGCATATCAGCAATCAAAGCCAGACTATATTCAGTTATTGTCATGGCAACAGCAAAGCTCGTAATAATAGTTAATATCCAAATACCTTCTTTTTTATTTGACATTTTCATAATATTATTGATTCCTTATATCTGTTGATCTTATACTTAAACTCAGTTTCTTTTTTTATGTGATCAGATGTTTTTCTTTTCTATATATGTGCATTTTATTAATATCCTGAATATATAGTTCATGTTTCATTTATTATATCCCGAAGTCTAACTGAATGGAAATTTTTTGTAGAATGACACACCAATTGACATGGCTAAAAGGCTTAATCTAACATACATACAAAAACGCTTAGAAGAAACTAAAAAAGAAAGAGAAAAGAGGACACATTGTCTCACACTTTACAGAGATAAGGTAATTCCTGTTACATGTTCTGTTTGTTATAATTTTCTTTTCTTATTTTAGGTTATGCAATATTATAAAATGTATTATAATTTTTATATGTATATAATATCCACAATATTGTACACATATAAAAGTTATTTTATGTTGCTTTTATTTGATTTTATATTATATAGCAGATGATTTATATAGCCATTTGTTGAAAAGACTAAATGTTTGATTCAAAAGTATTAAATTTTTGGGTACAATTTGAAACTCAGTTTATTAAAATTACTTAATGAAAAATTTACATATTTAATATTAAGAAATTCATTGTGTGAAGGAATTCATTGCGTGCTCCCCGAGATTTAATTTTTTTGGTCCAAAGGGGCTTTGTCCCTGAAGGACTATTATTTTCATTTTGCGTTGAATCACTATAAATGGCCATTTCACTTTTCAAACTGTTGCCACCAAATGTTAGATTCCTGCGTTATATTTGAAAAAATTAAATAATGGAAAATTTGCATAAATGCATGTATATTACTTGCATTGTGATAAAACAACAGTACATAGACCAATCCAAATTTTGAATGACGTAATCCTCCTACAAATATGGGTATGGAGAAAATCAAATTTGAAATTTTGAATGTGTTTTATTATCGATTTCATATTTTGTAAAACTTTTAACGAATTTTTTATTAACAAGCTCAAGGATTTCAAAGTGAGCAATGGCAACACTCTACAGGGGGGGGACCTTTTTATCTCCAGCGCGGAATTGTGTATCAGAAATTCTAAAGATAGGCTCATTTTAAAATTATTTTGCGACATCGCTATTGAACTGAATTTTATGGTTTAAGTGCAAAGAACATGATATTTAATAAATAAAGGTAACACACAAAATGTTAAAAAAATGCCCCTTTGGACGTAATTTAAAATCTGAAACCTTTCAGATTTTTTTACATTTTTTATTTTTTATTTTGGTGAGTATTATATTGTTATTAATGACTGGCATCCATTGGAAACTGTTTAACTTTAATTGGTAGGCTTGGTCTTTGTTATATAGTACTTCTTCGGCAGGTTCTGGATATATGTTTGCATAACGTGGAATGTGAACTAAATATGGGCATCGCCTAAAACCAGACATTTAATGGCACGAATACTTTATTAACATACAAACAAAATAAGAAGTTAACACAAAAATAGAAACCATGTTTATCATTATTACGCTGCCGTACAGCGAGGTATCTTCATTACTTCACTACTAACAGTCTCTTCTCTTCTCCAGTAATTCACGTGAGAAAGAGGCATTGCAGGCCGTTTGTGCATGCATGGTCAACACGTCATGACAGTCTTGCTCTTAACCACCCTTTAATTCATATCAAGTGATTTAACAGAAAATTCACATGATTTCAGATCATGGCTTTGGGCTGGCCATTTTGAGCTCATTCACTCCTATTTCTTTAAACCAATCAGCAATGCCTTTCATTTCATGAATGTGAAAATTTTCATATTGAAAAGGATAAGAGCCATTTTTGAATTATCACCATAATGTGGGCAGCAGAGAATTGTCAAATAATGCCTCGTAGGTCTTGGCATTCTGAGCTTGAAATGCTGCATATTGAGACTGTCAAATTCAGACCAATCGAAAAAAGTCTACACTGCAGTTCCGCCTCCATCAAAATTCTTAGTAGAAACAATACACACTGGTCAATAATGCTTACCTAGCATTCACTATGTCCATTCCTATCTATTGGAATGTTCTAACATACATATAATGTGGTTTTCTTATTCCTCGTGTTGCTCCAGTTGTTCTAGAGAAAACATATTTTACATCATTGTAATTGGCAGTAAATATTCAGTTTAGGCATTTTTAGTTGATGAGATGTAGCTTGGTAATAAAATCCAAGTGCAGCACCTGTTGACAAAATGATAAAGCATTGACATCACTTCTACATGCCAAATTAAGTGACTGCCCTTGATTTCTGAGAAAACTTGCCATTGTGATTTCATGATTTATTGGAGGCAAGAATAGTCTCTTTTTGTCAATTTTTTACTTCCTTGTTTTGAGTTGGGGTTTTTTATAACTCCCTCATATTTCTACCTCATCACTGCATCACTCACTGTTGCATATGGAATCTAGAATTTGCCAGAAATCTGATAGATAGAATGACCAAATTTCTGGACTCCAAGAATTGTGTTCCTTTTCAGCCTTATTCAACTCTTGTGGCTTGTCCATTCCCATGACAGTAGGTAGTACACATTTCTGCTGAACTAAACTAAACTAAACTGGGCTTGCTACCTCTACATTAATATTGTGTGAAGCATGTGGTGTTGGGGTTGTATGAATTTAATATGTGTGTAGACACATAATATAAGAAAATCAGAACCTCAGATTTTTTTAGAGCAGCAGTTTTTAATTTTTTGACTAACGCGTACCACCTAAACAAAAATTGAAAACTTTTAGTACCACTACAAAGTACTACTACCACCACCCCTCCTGAATAAAGCTCAAATCGCATAAATTTACGAGTGTAAAAGAAAATAACTCAATCAGGATGTTGGGGGTTTTAATTTTTGAATTTAATAGTTCAAAATACTTTGCTTCTTTGTGTACCACTGGTTGGGAACCCCTGCTTTAGAGGGATAAGTTGTGGTCTTTTTATCAATTCATGGCATGTATTAATGATCTATATAGACAATCCCATTTTTCATTCAGAGGCAGGTGTTCAGTTATTAATGGCTATATAGTATGTATTAACTGTTTAAAACCATTGAATGCTCAATGTCTCTGCCTAATTTGACTTCCTGTTTTAGAACTGACTGGTTGAAAAAATGTTTTTATGAGGTTTGCTCATATGTAATAATACTACTAGTTTTCCTTAGGAAAAATATGACATTTTTTTTTTTAAACAAACGGCTCATGTGCTATGCTAAGATCAATTATTTATTTGCTAGTAGGCTTTGAAGCTATTAATTTATTTAAAAAGAAGGATTTATAAGAAGGAAGAAGAGCAGAAAAAGAAAGCTTTTGCTTCTCTCATCGTCTTAGATGATTTGCTAATTTTACAAAATTACTACTAGAATTATTTCATGCTTTGAAACAGAATTTCGGATTGATGCAAAATAATTGTTAAGTTTATAAAAGTATCATTAAAGTATTTTAAACTGAAGTGCTTTTATAATGTCACTCATTATTTCATTTCTCTGTGCTATGTCAACAAAACATATTCTAGATATGTTCTTCATGTCAAAGTATGTACTTTTGTCTGTTTGCTTCTTATATTGTAATAAGGAAAGAATTTTTTATTGCCTTCCTTAGATGTTCCATTTAAACAATATAAGATACTCCATATACAGTGTAAAATGTTTATCATGAAATTTTGTAAATATTTTTTATCTGTGTAATATTTTATTAATTAAAAATTATTTATTTCCCGTTAACTTTAGAAACTAAGATACGGTTGTATGGTTGGGTCTCCATTTTTAGTATTTTATGTCATTGGTGCTCTGCTTGAAAGTCGAGAATCATATCTCATGAAAGCAGGACTGTTGCTTATTTTAGGTATAGCTGTCACAGTTACAGGAAAGTAAGTATTTGTTACGTCATTTGAAATGTCAGATTAAATAATCATGCTTTAATTTGATGTATAGCGCATTGTGTTTTTTAGAATAAAACTTAAAATACTTAGTATATAGAGTGTTTTATTTAGTTCTTAGTCAAAGTACTTATTTGTTTATTAATATTTCAAGAAAAGATCTAGGAAACCTGTCATTTGAATGTTATCACATATTTTGCAAAATATAAAAAGTGCTTTATTTGTTGATAACGTGATAGACTAAAGGCACTTATTAGTAGCCATTGAACTGATGGCAGTTAGTGTTAAGTTAGTGTTTTATAAAATAAAAAAAAAAAAAAAAAAAAAAAAATAGTAAAAATAGTAAAAGAATAAGTAAAAATAATGAATAAATAAAAAGATCTAAATACTATGAGGTTAAATTAAGTAAATATGTCTTTTTTTAATATAAAAATTAAGAAAGAAACACAAATTATACTTTTTCTTTAAAAAATTCTAGATTTCACACATACCCAATTCCCTGATTAATTAGGTTTTCAATTAAACAGGCCTCTCTAAAAAATTTTTAAGTTTATTTGCTGCATTATAATTTAGAAATTACTGCCACAAACAAAACATTCAATGGAAGATACAAATAAGCATAGAAAGTTGTACAGGATAACAGCAGTGATAGCAAATGATATCTGCTAGATGACCACAGTCAAAAAACAAACAGTTCTAACCAGCTTTTTTATGCAAGTTTGAACTCAATCACATTAGTCAAGTTTTCTTGTAAATGTTATTTTTTAAAGTCATTTATAAGTTAGGTTCATTACTTCTAGTAATGTTTAGCCTTCCATTTTTTATAGTGTGCTCTTTTATTTGAAATACTGGTTTAATATACTAACCAAATAAATTTATTCTTCAGATTAGATTGCTTCAAAAAATAGATAAATTTGTAACAGTATTTTCCTGTTGATTATGATGCGAGTTATTTCTCCTTCTTTTGTTTTTAAATTGCCATTAATTTTAGCATTATTTTGAATAACCCTTAATGTCATCTATATTACTCTAGTTAATCATGAGTTGAGTGTATAAGAATGCTATAATTTTGAAAAATGTGTTTTTAGCATAGTTTTATCTAAGTCTCTTTAATGAAGTCTTGGTTACATTCAAAATCGCAATAACAACCTTGTATTTAACGTAAATAAATTAAAACACTCAAACGATTTTGAGGGTAGCTAAAGGTCCTTCCTCATCAGGAGAACGAAATTCCTAGAAAGGGGAAAAAGAAGAAAAATAAAGCATTGGCAAAGGAGTCTCGGAAACACGTGGTCCTTATCAGCACGCACGTGGTCATAACCAGAATTTGAATCAGAGTTACACAGGCCGCCTACTTTTACTGAGCCAGACTATCTGATCAAACATATGACACATAGACTAAAACACAAGAAAATCAGCAAAGTCAAAAAATAGGGAGCAAGGAGCAACTGCACTTTCATGCACCAAGTCTGAACTTCGAATAAAGAGAAAGCAACCTCTGTAACGGCCTTTTTATACCCTCCGGTAGTACCAAACGCAAGGAGGCAACGCCATCTTTCGGCAAAAATAGCGATTTTGATTGTCACATTGGCATGTTTCTCGTCTTTTCTTGGTTACATGTTATTACACCACCAAGTCTTAACTGGTTTGATTTCTAGTGATATTTGTTTCATCATCTGTTTGAATTAAAAAGAAAATTCGTGCAAACATTCAACCTTTTTAAATATTGCTAAGAAATGAAAATTGAATAAAACTATATTTTTGATATAATTTCCATGGAATCCTGTGCCATTTCCATGGAATTCTATTAACATAATTGTAATTATGTTAATAGAATTACAAGAATTATGTTAATACAATTTTAAAGGCATTAGGAAGGACTTGCCTCCTCGCATGTGGTACTACCGGAGGGTATAAAAAAGCCGTTACAGAGGTTGCTTTCTCTTTATTCAAAGCTCAGACTTGGTGCGTGAAAGTGAAGTTGCCCCTCGCTCCCTATTTTTGTACTTCACTGATTTTCTTGCGTTTTAGTCTATGTGTCATATGTTTCAAACTTTAACTGGCTCAGTAAAAGTAGGCGGCCGGGGTAACTTTGATTCAAATTCTGGTTATGACCATGTGCATGCTGATAAGGACCACGTGTTTCTGAGACTCCTTTGCCAATGCTTTATTTTTCTTCTTTTTTCCCCTTTCTAGGAATTTTGTTCTCCTGATAAGGAAGGACCTATAGCTACCCTCGAAATCGATTGGGTGTTTTAATTTATTTATGCTAAATACAAGGTTGTTGTTGCGATTTTGATTGTCACATTGGCGTGTTTCTCGTCTTTTCTTGGCTACATGTTAAGACACCACCAAACTTTAACTGGTTTGATTTCTAGTGATATTTGTTTCATCATCTGTTCGAATTTAAAAGAAAATTCTTTTGTTGTGCAAACATTCAACCTTTTTAAATATTGCTAAGAAATTAAAATTGAATAAAACTACCTTTTTGATATAATTTCCATGGAATCCTGTGCTAAAGAATTCTTTTAATTTCCCCATTTATTAGTTTAGCTAAACTTTGAATTGCAAGTATGTGCTTTTGTACTGAATAGTAAACATAATATTCTGTTATGAAATTAAAATTGAAAAAAAAATAATCATGTTAACTGTTACATTTGAGATTGTTTCATGATCATAAACCATTTGCTAGCTTTGTTTAAGATAAATTCAAGTCATACAGTATGTGCTCAAATACATTATAATGTCATCTGCATATAATGTTACTAATTGAAAATTAATTCAGTATACATAAAATTAGATTTTTTTTAATGTTGCAAACATTGAATTTGTATATTAAGTATATAATTGACTTTTTCTCATCTTGATGGATTCATTAAAAAGAAATGTTGGAAGTTTCACATAATGACAGCTTTTATTATTATTATTTTTAAAAAAATTTGACAAGAATTTTTTCTTCCTAGGTTACTGTTTGATGACAGAATCCTCAATATACTTCCAATTTCAGTTTATCTATCTACAAAGTTTTGGATGTATGTAACGTGGTTTACATGGTTTCAACCTTGTATCCTTTCTTTGTTGTTTAAATATTGAACGTTATTGAAATTAAGTACTTTTAACAAATTTACTGAAATATTAGTAAACTTCTGTGATAATAAATATAATAAAACAAACTAATGAGAAATAAATATATTAATATAATTGTTCAGTTTTTGAATTGAGTTTTTGTTATCATTTTTATCAGATTATGTATTATTTACATGTATTGTTAATTTAGTGACCTTTGTTTTGTTACTGTTTCTATATGCTCACCATTATTCTATGTTAATTGTTTTTCATTCTTAATATTTTATGAGTAGAATTTTAGAAGGGGAAAACTGATAGTGTTTGAAACCTGAGATATTATATTAATTTGCAAAGTTATATGGCTGATCTATTTAAATCCAATGGTGTTTGCTGATTTGTATTGAATAAATAATATACTTGTGGTGAGTTTTCTCTCCTCTAAACAAGTCTTTGCAGAAATCTTATAAGAACTTATTACATAAAATTTAAAAAAAAAAAAAAAATTCAAAGCAGAATTGCTTAAAAAGTAATGTTTTAGTGTACAACTATTTCAATGCAAATGTTAAATTTAAAAGTAAGAAATATGTGTATAAATTAGAAAAAGGAGATTGATTTAACGTTCCCATCAATAAAAAGCAATATACATAGTAAAAATTGTCATTAATTATGAATACTATATTTATTCAGTTATAAGCCATTATTGATAGTAAGCTGATCTGAGTAAATCAACAGAAATAAATTTTTAATATGAATATTTATCCTTTGCTAGATAATGATCACATTTTAGCACTTTGTGTATTTTTCTTTTGCTGCAGCATGCATATATTTGGCTTCTCTGTCTTCTTCATCATTTTATATTGCTTTTATATTGCTTTTATTAACCCCCAAATAATGCTGTTGTGCTAGCTTTAATCCAGTGGTTAAGGTCACAATGTTTTCAGCTAATATGATCACTTTTCTTTTAAAACTGGTAGTGTAATAACAGTGTCCCATTATGAAATAGCAGCTAAAACTCTTTCCTAGTAGCATCAGCTTGGTAAAATAACTTTCATCTATTGCATACGAAGTTAACAGAAACTTATCTGGTGGCCTGTGGTAATTTTTTTAACCAAGTGTAACTATATTGATAAAAGAAATCAATAATTTATTTTTAATAGCATTAAGAAAGATATCAATTGTAAATCAAGAATATGAAAAAAAAAATTGGACTTTCGTCTGGGAAAATATGATAATGTATTAAATACAAGCTGATGACTTTTTTTCTCTGATGTAATTCCTCCTTCATAAAACTGAAATATATAGGTAATATAGTTCAAGTCTGGATTGAACATTTTCATTGCATACAATTTATAAAATATGTGTAAGGTGTTATGCGTGATCATCAGTAATTACTGCTTGTTAAATTACTGTATATAATAAGATGTTTTTGTAGTTTTTTTATACTGCTATATTTTTGTGTAAAACGTTTTAAAACATTCTTTAATCATATATAAGATGTTGGAGACATATGGAGAACGGTTGGTTTTTTAGTGTGTTCAATGTTCCTTTTCTACTCATTTATAAAAGCTTGGAAGTCAGATCCAGGCGTCATACATAGCACTCCTGAACAGAGATATAGGGTAAATATATTCTTGACATAGAATGCATATATTCCATTATTTCAAGTTTTTTAAATGGAAGATACTGTGTATTATGTTTGTTGATTAAACAGTTTCAATTACCGAAAGATAACTATCATCGCAATGATCATTAATATAATTGAGATTAAAATGTTCAAAATATTTTCAGAGCTTATGAATTTTCATTTTAGCTGACTTTCTGTACTCAACAAATATCTATCCTACATTTCAATTCAACCCATACTTGCTCAGTTGCTGCCTGAGCCACATAAGTGACAATTATGATAAATGTGTTATTTTCATTCCGTTAGGTAAGATACTTTCCCATTTTTTATGGGATATTCGTTTCCCACAGTGTTAAGTTTTTATGGGTATATCTAAATTAAAAGTTATCTAACAAGGAGAATAGTGATGCAACTGTTTGTGACTGAACACATCCTGCTGAATTTGTGGTAAGTCAGAGACAGGCTTGAATCATTAGACTTCAACATTGTGTAATCTACCTGGATTGAATTGGAGTATATACGTTATGGCAAAACATGTAGAGGCTATCTGTATGAGAAGAGGGATGCCTTCATGGGGGATTTAGTAAGAGAAATTCTCTTCTATTCATATGTATGGGAAAAAACACCCAAACTCCCAGGCAATCAACCGTTTACTGAGATTTAAACCTAGGTTGAGCTAACAGTGTTAAGCAATTTTGCTGCTCAGCTGCTGTTGCGCCACACCTGATCTATTTGAGCAACAGTGGTAATGCATAGTGCTATTTCCATTAAATTAGGGCAATGGGATGGGGCTATTCCAATCTTTCAAAAGGTAAGTAATATGTGTGTATCATGATGGAGTATTACTCATTAAATCATCAGACATCCAGCTGTAAACTGTGAGTCACATTCTGCGTAGACTCTACATCATCAGATTTAATAATGTGTAATTTTTTAGGTGGGTGGGAGATCAACATTAAGGACTAGATATTTAAAATATTTCTTTTCTCAAGATTTAATGAAATTGGAATAACTTGTTAAAATAACAATTACTTCAATCAGGCAATGCTCAAACAAATATGGATTAATTGGTCTTAGTCATTGTATTACATTGATATACTTGTATTTAGGAACTTGTTAGGTATATTTTGCAGTTTTCAAAAGGTATCAATTTTGTGAACAGCATATTACAATAAAGTTTTGTGTTAAACTTGGAATAAAATGTGCTTACAATAATCACTGCTTATTGTATGCAACATTATGAATACAACAAGTTGTATGCAACATTATGAATGATTTATGAAGAGCAATTTAAGGATGGCCGATAATCAGCCATTGATGGTTTCCATTCAGGGCACCTCATTTGAGAAAATAGATGTAGCTATGAATCACAAAATTATGCATTCTAATTGGGAGTTAACTGTATGTAAAAACCAGTAATGATTTTATTTGGATTTTACTCATCTTCCTTTTCGCTGTATTTTCTTATTTGTTTCTTGGTATTTAGTATGACTTGGATTGTATTTATAGGCATGTTATATTCAGTGTATGAGTTTTCAGATAACTCCTAATAAAGTAGTATGTATGAACTGGATTTTAAATAAAATTTAAAAACTTTATATCAATTTTGCAAGTGCATTGTTATATTAATTTTAGTAATATTACTTTGCTTTATAATATTAACAAATATGCTTATGATTTACTGATAGCATTATTTTTTTAAAAAATCAAATTAGTTTTAATGTTGTGAAATGTAATTTGTTCCTGCTTTCTAGACAATTATTGAATTAGCTGAGAGAGATGGTTTTCATCCGAATTGGTTTTGTAGTTCATGTTTAGTACGGCGTCCTTTGAGATCTAAACACTGTTCTGTTTGTAATCAGTGTATAGCACGTTTTGACCACCACTGCCCTTGGGTGGGAAACTGTGTCGGTAAGTTGCTTACGTATTCTTTCCCTATTCTCTAAGTATGTTGTGTTGGATTGAATCTTGTGTTGTTTGTAGAATTAAGTCTATTCGGAGTTATACTGTTAAATGCCACAAAATGTAACTTCGATTGAAATATTTCTAATACAGTCAAAAGTCGTTAATCCGGACTCGTCGGGACTTCGGTGATTCCGGATTATAGATCATCAGTTTAAATCTCGTAAGATGGCATGCAGAAGTTCTAAAATTAAAAATATTAAACCGTAATTTATGAAATAAAGAACAATTATGATCTAAAGGGTATCAAAATTTACAAAAAAAAAAGCTTAATATTTATTTGTTTACATTATTAAACATTTCTTTCAATGTAAGTTGTTTAAGTTGCTTCGTTTTATGTGATAATACTTTTTCTTTAATTCTATAAACAGACATAATTTCTTGTTCGGTACAAAGTTCCGCTGTTCAAGTCCCTGTTAATTGCTGTGCCGAGAATACCGACTAACTTATCAATCGAAATTTTTTTTCATTTTCACTAACTTCTCTGTCATTTTCTTCATGTCTTTTATCCATTTTTTGCAGCAATTCCCCATCTTTGTTTCATGGACATCGGAATATGCTTTCACTTTGTAGATCCTTTCGGCAGCTCCAGAATTCGGAAACTCTATTCTGACATAATCGAAAGTTCAAGCGTACTTTTTATAAGTATTGCTCTTGCAGTCTGCAAAAAATAATAACCCGGATTCAATTCGAAGATTAAGGAACAACGCAATCATCAACATTAACTGAAATAGATAATTAGATAATTTTAGCTTATACCGTCCGTTATACATAAAACGTGCACACGAAAACGTGTTCTGCGCTTGCGCACACACATATGCGTAGTCGTAAAAGGTCTTAAGCGCACGCGTAAATGCCTATGCGCATGTGTCAACGAGGCATATGCGCAGAAAGTTTTTAGCTTTGAGGTCCGGATTATAGATCATTCCGGTTTATGGGTGTCTGAATTAACGACTTTTGACTGTAATTCTAATATAACCTTTGGTTTCTAGTAGTACTTTGAGTATTATAATATTTATTCTAAGCCTCATAAATTTGGAATATAGTAGTGCTTACATATCACTTAATTATACATTCTAAAATCTGATATGGTAACTTTAGTGTCATGATAATAGTACATTATAACGTGATAGTTAGAATGCATACATACATACAGTATTGTTTAAATGATAAATTTTGTGCAATAATTAGTATTACTATTGAAATAATACTAAAGTGTACTGTATGTTATATTGTACATTTTCCAGTATATAGATGCTCCCTTGCATTTAAAAGAACTGTTTATACCATGAATTTATTTATAAAATGTTACTAGGTTCTCTATGCATATCATTTAAGGATGTTTGTGAGACAAGAACTTTAAAAGCTATCAAAAAGCAATTAAAAATTATAAATAAATAATTGCTTTACTTAGTCCTTATCAGCCTGTATAAAATGCATGGGAATAACTATTTTTATTATTATTTTGACTCAATATTTAAGCCAAATTTTCCTATCTTAATATTACAAAAACAAATACTGATTTACTTTTCATGTAACTTCTTTAAATAAAGTTATAAAAGGAGTGCCAGATATTTCTAAAAAATAAATATATATTTTCACAATTTTTTGTATGTAAATTGTTTTGATTGTGTTATAAAATGTGTTTAATTTGTATAAGGTGGCTGCAAAGAAATATTTCTTAGTAGAATAAATCTAAATATATTTTTCTAGGTAATAGTAATGTTAGGATTTTTTTTCCTTCAATGAGTAATTTTCATTAGTTTATGCATTAAAAGAATTGCTCAGTTTTGTTAAGTGGAAATTCTAGCTACCACTTTTTTCCATATGTAAGTTGAGAAATATTTAGTAAAATGCTCACTGCTGAAGTTTGAAGGCCATCTGGTGTACAAGTTCAGATTCACAAATAATTTTATCTCAAAGATGAGTAACTGAAACAAATGAAAATTAATTTAACTTGTTTTCTTTAATCCTAATATGCATCAATCGATATTTTTCAATGTCAGCATCTGACTCAAAATTTTCAGAAATCTTTATGCTACCAAGTCAAGTGAATAGTATAATCTTTTCATCTTTTATTTCATCACTAACATTGTCATCCTCTGCATTTTAGGTAGCACAGTTTCATTTTGTATAGTGTTATTCTTGTGGCATTTTTTACAGCATTATTTATGTGACCAGACATGATCAGCCGATTATTTGAATGATCGGCTGATCATATCTGGTCTATTTTTGTAAACTGAGTTGGGATCTGGCACTCACCTTCAATTCATCCAATAACTATATCTGAATCAGATGACTAATTATTCAAACGTTTGATGATATAGAGATGGATTTAAATTCATTTTTTTAGTTTTAATATTTTTAAAGCAAAATTTTAACTCATAATTTACACACAGATTGGTTTATGTTTGAAAATATATGATACTTCATTTCTGGTTTCACCTGAACAAGAGTTTACATGAAAAGTAGAAGAGTGTCTGGGTCTATGAAATAAAGAGTGAGAAACTGAGATTTCTAGCTTAAATATTCAGTCAAAATAATAATAAAAATAGTTACTGCTATGCATTTCAAGCAGTCTGATCAGGATCAAGTGCTCAGAATTACAATTTAATAACTAATTTTCTAATCTGTTGTTTCATTTTAATAAAATTCTTTTCTAAATAACATTTTTGATACTTATATATTATCCCATTGACTGTGAAGCTGTTATCAAGCAGCACAACTTAGTGCCAGTTGTGGATAAGGGTATGGTCAAACACATTCATAACATCTGCGCTTTCGTTTGATAAGATTTTGGGCATTTAGACTTAACAACACTACGAGTCCGACCCAATTGCCATGCCAGGCCCAAGGGTTCAACCCCTGTCCTCACACCTTGGAGAAAGCTGGTGCCACCACCCTTCAGCACTGGGTATCAATTTGCTTCCTACGAATCACTTGGGCTGCCCATTGCCTAATGATATTACCTAGAAAACCTGGGGCTTCACCTCCAGGCAGAATCCAAAATGCCACCTCAGGCTACTAGAGCCTTGAACTTTAGGGCATGCCAGACCCATGGGCCAACTGATAAATGATCTTTCAGGGGTCTTTAGAACCAGTAGGTTCTTTATTTGTATACCCCATGGCCGAGACTACCAAGGTACAGATCCTAGTCAGTAGCTTCACAGAGTTCTCTACATCAACTCCCAGGGGAAGCTTTTGTTTGACGTAATCCTGATTGATTCTGAATAAGCCACCTTTTGTTTTCATGAACAAATATATAATTTAACTGTTAATTGCTGTATTTCTTTCTTGCATTTTTAAAGTAGGAGTTGGAGAGCTGTAAAGTCACATTTGTTACTGCACTGAGGTTCATTTGCAGCTGGTTTGGAGAGTTAACATGTGTTAAGGGGGGGGGAGAACAGCTGGATATGGCCAACGAAAAGGTAATAGATTGGAACAACTGCCTGTAGGAAGTTTGTACTCATCATGTTCTACAAGAGCTTCCTAAGCTTCCACTAAAGTTGGAGTGCCTAATAAAATAGTAAAAATCAATGAAAACCTGTTACAAAGTGCAAAGTTGTGTAGATAGATTGATGAATGTGTTATTGTAAGGCTTGCAGGTAACTGCTCAGAATTCTGCAGGAATAATTGGGCAACTTTGGCGGGATCTCCACCAACTTTCGCAGTCAACGGGATAATCCACGAGTATCCCTTTTTCTGTTTAATTTCATTTGAGATTACTCCCACCTGATAAATCAGTATGTGGGAGGAAAACAATATGAGATAGTTTAAGTATATAGTAAATAAATAAGTATACTGTCTTATAAAATGATGTTTTTACCATCACATATTTGGTCATTGTATTGTACTTTATTTTACTTTATTTTAGGATTGGGAAATCATAAATATTTCGTTTTGTATCTTTTTTGGCTTCTCATAATGATTATTTGGTGTTTACATGGCTGTGTCAGATGTAAGTAAACTGTTTATATTTTAAAGCTTTAAAGTAACAATAATAAATTTTTAATTTGAAAACTATTAGTATCTTAATTGGGTTGAATTATTATTTCTTTTCAACAGTTTGGAAAGGGCACATCACCAATAATGACATTCCACTTTTAAATTTTTTATGGGAAGCATCTCGCATCAGCGGTTGGGTGAGCTGGATTGCAGCGAATGCTTTGTTGCATAGTATTTGGGTTGGCTGTCTCTTGCTGTGTCAACTATATCAAGTGAGTTTTGATTTTCTTTATTCTTAAAGTATGACTGTTGATGATTTCTATTAGTTAAAATTTTTTTAGTACTTATATATTATAGTAACCACTGTAATAAAAGCTGCCAAATTTTGAGTTTGAGAATGTGTCAAACTCTAGCAACTATACGCATAACCATTCTTTGGGTAACGATGATCATAACAGTTCTTCAGTCAAGTAATGTCACCATTTTCATATCTGTTTTGTTTTATTCCAATCCCCTTCAGTTTTTATGTACAGTCAAAAGTCTTTAATCCGGACTCGTCGGGACATCCGCGATTCCGGATTATCGGTTTTTCCGGATTATAGATCATCAGTTTAAATCTGGTAAGATGGCATGCAGAAATTATAAAATTAAAAATATGAAACCGTAATTTATGAAATAAAGAGCAATTGTGATCTAAAGGGTATCAAAATTTACAAAAAAAAGCTTAATATTTATTTGTTTACTTTATTAAACATTTCTTTCAACACGCACATGCGTAAAGCATACATTATGCATAGTCGAAATTAGAAAATTTCAACCAGAAAACTATTTGATGTGTATTCGTGATATTTATAATGCCGAGGAATTTGATTTAAATCATATCAAAGGAGTACATCGAGATGAAATACTACATTTAGTAAGGAATTATAAGCCAAATAAAATAAAAACATCTGCCCTGAAGATAAGGATAGTGCTGACAGATCAACTTCCAATTCATCGCGCGCCATGTCGTCACCCCCCCCCCCGGCAAAGTAGCGTGAAATTCATAAACATATTTCAGAATGGTTAGAGAATCAAAGGATATGCGTTTATCCATTTTTTGCAGCAATTCCACTATTTGTTTGATGGACATCGAAACATACTTTCACTTTGTAGATATTTTGGTAGCTCCAGAATCGGAAATTCTTTTTGACATAATCGAAAGTTCAAGCTTACTTTCATAAAATTGCTCTAACAGTCTGCAAAATAATAACCGGATCCAATTAGAAGATTAAGGAACAACGCAATCTGCAACATTAACTGAACTGAAATAGATAATTTTAGCTTAGCTTATACTGTCCATTATATATTAAACGCGCATGCAAGCAGCGTATTATGTGCATGCGGAGATGCATATGCGCATTCGTAAAGGTATTATGCGCATGCGTTAACGCATTATGTGTTGATGCATGCGCAGAAAGTTTTTAGCTTTGAGGTCCGGATTAAAGACTCTTGACTGTACGAATCATGATATTTTTTTTGCCTTAAGCTCAATTTTAAAATATGGCTTGTGAAATTTACCAGTAATAGAAGAAACTGCAGTAAAATATCTGCAAGTATACAGTGTTTCGCAGTTAAATCATTAAAGAGAAGAATGAATGTGATGCTTCTGGTAAGTAGCTGTATGCAGTGTCGTGATATTTTCCTTTAAGCAAAAATAAGTAACTGTGTATATGGAACAAAAAATTAGAGAAGGGTTTCCTGAAAATGTATTTTAATTCTTTTATAATATAATCTTTGTTTAAAAAAATAAAATTTGTATTTTAAATTTTTAAGCGTATTTTCTTTTGATATGTTAATAACGTTTGCTGATTTATAAAAAATAACACTCGTTAAGAAATGTTTTGGAAAAAAAGACATGAAAATTGTCAGCTGGCATCTGATAAGTAATTTTTGCCTTTCTGTGAAAACAAACCATACAGTTGTACTAAGGTGGTTGCATTAACGCAGTAAGTACCACCTTTTTAAAGTGACAAATGCAGATATTTAATTTGCGTTCATTTAGTATTAATATTTGAGTACCTTAAAGTTTTATTTTATTATGGAAATATATCAACCATCGGTAGGCATTGCTTTTATTAGAAATCTGGAAATTATTGTTTTAGTGTAGGAAGAAAGTTTTATTTATTTTTCAGTACTAATGTGATAGCTTTGATTATTAGAGAAATAAACTATTGTGAACTGAAACTACAGAAAAGCCATAGATAGAGATAAGCAAGTGATATAAAACTGATGCTTGAATATAAATTTCACTTTATCATTAAATTTACTAATTTTGTAAATCACTTTGTCAGTATTTTATGTCATAAGTTGAAAGCTGAAGCATTTTAAAGTTACATGGAGAGAATCATACTGTGCCCCTCAGCAGAAAAAATAGCATAGATGAATCACACATGTTACAGGTAATACTGCCAGGTTCTATCAAGGGCTTACTACTAAAGAGTAAGATTTCATTACTACTAAGGAGTAAGATTTGGAATCAGTTCTTTTAAAATATATTATCAAACTTATATAGGTGAAAAATAATTTACTCAGAAAATAAGAAAAAGTACTGGCTGAAGGATTATGGAAAATGTGACAGTCATTAAAATCTCTCTTTGTGGTAGATTCCTTAATAAAGGCTGCTGCATAATTTCTACACAATGTTTTACAGAGTTTTTAATTTCACTAGAAATATAATTCAAATACATGAGGAATAGTTAGATTAGTGGAAGATCATAAAATTTGGTGCCATACTCTTTTGAAACTTTATAAGTGAAAGTATACATTTACGGTTAAGTCAGTTTGAACTTTATTGTGATTGTACCACTGGTTTTAAAAATGTATTATTATATTTTATAATAAAATGCTTTATGAATAAATTAATTATAGAGTATAGGCATCAAAGTTGATTTTGTTTATAGTCAAGATAGGTTTTGAATAACTTTCATATCAGTCTTATAAAGCAAAGGGCAAAATTGTGAATAATTGATAATATATATTTTAGAACTCTTCCCCCCCCCACTGTATTCTTTTTTTATCATTTTAAAATTGCACATATTTACTAATTCTTTAATTTATTTTTCATTGCAGATAGTTTGGCTAGCTATGACAACAAATGAAAGAATGAACTGCTCAAGATATCGACATTTTAAAAAAGACAAAAAGGGTGTTATCAGAAGCCCATTTCAGTAAGGATACTTATTTTCTGTTTTTTATTAATTTTTTCATCACCATTGGTATTTAAAGAAATTATTTTTTCAGAGCTTTTTTCATATAAAAAGTACTAATGAATTTAATTTGACAAGTAAAATTAAGTATTTTTAGCATTTAATTCAAATTTTAGTATTTTTCTCTTAAGTTGCACATAAATAAACTCTTAAATTCATTAAAATTTATTTCACAATACTTTCTAAGGGCAAATTGAAATTCAAAATAATTTATTAGTCAGATGAATTTCCCTTCAGTATAAAATCTCTTGTGTTCTTTTAATAAATTTCTGATTTTTATCACATTTATTCTTAGTGTTTACTGCTAATACTGCAATTACTTATGTTATATTGCTGCTTATATAGATGCTTTTGTAGACAGACAGAAAAAAATATACTAAGCATTTTTTCCAGAATTAAGATTTCTTTATCATATGATTTTAAAATTTAAGATTTTTCCCCCTTTCTTTGTTACAGTCGTGGTGCTTTCCAGAATTTGTTAGACTTTTGTGAATGGAAGTGCTGTGGACTTTTCCAAATTGATACTAGAGACTGGAAACAAGTGTATGATTCAGATGATGAAGGAGAAAGCTCAGTATTGCTTAGATCTGAACATCATTATATATAAAAGTGCTGATATACTGAAATGGTTTATTCATAATTATGACAAGATTATATAGCCTTGAATAGTATATTAAGTTATAGTGTGCATCTTTTTTATTTAAATTTTTTAAAAATATATCAAGGTACGATATACTGTTTTTGGCTAGAAAAATCTTGCCTTATTGTTAATTAATTTAATGACTAACATTTGAAATGAAAGAAGAGAATTAATTCAAAGACTGTTTCTCTGAAAGCCTTTATGACTTGAATAAATTCTTATTTTATTTGTAATAACTGTAATAACTGAAAAATGTTGCATAGGCCTTATTTGTGAGAAAAGCTTTTTTATCTTGTGCTGTAGATGAATATTTTGCTTGCTATTGTGCTCGACACAAAAGTGTAATTTTCGTTCATACTTTTTATATATCATATTTTGTTATTGTGATAACTTATTTGCACCAGAAATGTCTGGTACACTTCTTATGCAATTTCTGCAATTTCTACTACTCACATTTTTCATTGTATCTATAAATTTATCATTTTCATCATCTACATTTTCTATTATCTTAAATGTTAATTGCTAAAGCATTTTAGCACTCATACAGATGTTTTTGTGAATAAACAACAACCTGTCTTGATTCATTCGCAAGTTTGTACTACTCAGGAGGTTGTAAAATAATGATGTTTGTCGTCGCCGAATCATGACTCATTTCTGTAACTGTATTTTTGTATGTATTGTCTGGGCACATTCTTAAATCATGTCACATAATCAGAAATAGGACTAGAACTATATATAAAAATGTAGATTCCCAGTTTTGAACATTTGGAATTTATCTAACATATTTTCATAAATTTGAGCTTTTTTATCCAAGAGTCTTTTATTTCTAAATTCTCTTATCATTATAAAAGTATTGAATTCTGTATAATGAATTATATGATTGATATAGATTATTTATACTTCATTATAATATAGATAGGTTTCTGCTAGCAAGTATACTTATTTCATTGAAAGCTGTACTCAAGATTATCAAACATCTTTTCGTTTAAGTAAAGGACAAAATTTCAACATATTCTCAATCAAATATATATGCTACTGTAAAAAGAGAGACCAATCTTAGTCCCTTTGAAATACATAGAGCTTATCTATAAAACTAACAATTCGATGAAGGAGTTTGATTAACAAACTTAACATCTAGAATTTTATTAATGTTAATGTGCATGACCAATAGAAATTTATCAAAATTACTGCCATTCTTTTTATTTTATTATGTGCTCTGTAAAAATCTGATATCTGTGATTTTAACTTTGCTTTGAAAATATTATCTTAATATTTATATGAAAGAGGTGCTGTTTTATATTAAGGGGTTGTATGAAATAATAATTAATGCAAATTACTTGATATATGGAAATTTCAGCTTAAATAATAATTAGGTCACTTATGAAGGAAGAGATAAAGGTATATAGGGTATCTCAAAACTCTGAATACAAATTTTGAGGGGCAATGCAAAACATCAGTATAAATCAGGGGTTCAAAAATAGATGGTATGTAAAGAAGCAAAGTATTTTTAACTATTAAATTCAAAAATTAAAACCCCAACATTCTGATCTTTTCTCTAACACCCGTAAATGTATGTGATCTGAGCTTTGTTCAAGAGTGGTGGTATTTCAATTTTTGTTTAAATGGTACACATTAGTCAAAAGGTTGAGAACTGCTGGTATAAATCATGTTCACCTACGAAAGCATGAGCAGGGGTGTCGCTCATGAGAGATAGAAGAGACACAAGAACATAATACAGAAAGGCAGAAGTGAAGGTAGAACTTAAACTGGTAGACACAGAATACTGTTTCGTATGAGGTGTTGAAAGTTCCGGCCATTCATAATGCATGCATGATGCTAACACCTGATTAATTGGCAACACTTTCAAAGTTATCTGGAATTTTGCTGGTATTAGTAGCAGCCTTTGTCATTACCATCAGCGATCCCATACAGGATATACATGTTCACCAAATCAGCATTCACAAAATGATCCATTGTCTTTGTACAGCATTGCAAGATTCAGTGAAATAGCTGTTTTCAAGCTGAATTGCTGCTGTGGAGCACCATATATCCATCTCTGATCCTGCATTCCTTTATGAATGTGAATTACATTGATGCCCTCTCCCTATCCTCAAAGATTGTAGATGAAGTTTTAAGACATTTTATGTGGTACCAGTAACCAATAGGAAACTAGAAAAGAAAACACACTTAACTTTCCTGTAGGTGATGACAGTATCTCCTGGACTAAATTCTTCCATAAACTGACGGATGCAGATATTTGTTGCTGTTTTTGAAATCTCTTGAAAAGATTAAAAAAGTATACTATTAGAAATTCTGTTAACATGTTTTAATTTCATAAATAAAAGAAGACATTTTTATGTATTTGAGGAATAATTTTTCAGTTCATGAAGCCTGAAATAGCTTTCAATATTTTGTAGCTGTAGAAAGATAATTTCAAGTTTTATTAATAAAAATTATTCATGAAATATTTTTTATATCTGTATTACTTGTGAATTTAGAAATCAAGTAAATTACATTTTTTTTATTATTAATAATGTATCACATTTTCTGACCTACAAGATAACATAGCTTGTAAGTCCTTAGATTTATCCAAACATTTATTAAATTTAAATATAGTGACTTATAATTTAACCCTCAGTGTGCAACATGTAGAAAATTTGGTATAAACAAAAAATTCTAAGGAAAAAAAGGGTATATTAGAAAATATGCCAAAATCAAAATTTACCTTAAAAACAAGTAAGTAGAAAGGAGACACCATAATTTCAAGATTGATAATGGATTTTAAGAAAATTAACAAAATAAATTGCCACTGCATGCTGTTAAGTAGGCTACATTCAATCCAAATATTAAAGATTTTACGAGTAACTGTGTAGTCAGTTTATGGAATATATATATCATATATGTATGTATCGTGGCACAACGGCTGTGGAAAAAGGTAGAAGTAAATGAACATTTTAATGTCAGGAGATGGGAATTAACTTTAAATCCACATCTGTGATTTGATGATAATTTTCGAAGGGGGAGGTCTTTTCATTAAACCTTCATAGAGTAATATATCTTTAAAAATTTTTGTAATTAAAAGTATTTTTCTTAATGTTTTATTAGGAATGACAATATATAATTAAATGTAAATAAGTTATGATAATTTATACCCAGTGTGCAAGTTGATTAGACTTGTTAGAGCTTCATCTTCTTTCCCCCCCCCCGAAAAAAAGAACCTTGACTTATATACTGAAAAATTTTGCAAATTCTATGTCTCATAAGTGTCATTTTCTCAGAAATAAATTATTTAAAAATTTTAAGAGCATAACTTTATTTCCCAAACAATGTTGTTTTTCTCAGAATGGCCATTTTTAGATAATCTGATTATTTTATCTAGCCCCTCTATAAAAATAAAATGAGTTTTTAAGGTTTAATTGTGATGAATAAAATATGAAAGTGCTTTGATTTAAATCAATACATTTCATTTATTGAATGTATCATTTGTTTATTTACTTTTACCTCTGGTGCTTCACTTATATGTTCTTATTATTTTGTATGAAGCTTTTTTCAATCAGCTAAAATTTGTAATCTAATTTAAATTCTTTAATCTTTTCAGTTATGAATCTTATAGCCCTAAAAATGTTTATTTTCTTTTTGTACCTCTGTGTTTAAAAACTTTGAAATTAAAAAAAAAAAAAAAAAAAAAAAAAAAATTGTGTTTCCTTAATGCATTTTTAAATTAAAAAATTGTATGGTATGCATATAATTTTTGTTTTATGCTAAATGTAATTTTTATTTTGCTGTGTATTGTATCTTAATGGTTATGTTGCTTGGTCACTGCAGTATGAATTAGTCAAGGTCAAACTATACAAGTCTCAGTTAAATGGGATAACAGCTCCTGGTAAATAACCTCAGTGTCAAAGAGCACCTGTCCTCAGAGAAGAGATCCTGGGTTCAATTCCCCATGTCCTTTTAAATAAAAACAGAAGAAGGTACTATACAATAATATAGCTAATTTGCAATAAGTTTGAATTTAAATCTAACGAATAAAACTATGTTTATTACTCCTGTTAAGACAAGCTAATCAAGTCATGAAATAAAAATTAAAATGTTAATTTTTTTTTTCTTCTTTTGAACAGAAAGAAGTGTATATGTTATTTGTGACAAAAAATATTTATAAATATGATAGGATTGGGGCTGTTATTGATTGTGTCTATGCATGTGTTTAGTTGTTGCATTTTAGTATTTATAAGTAGATTATATTAAATAATGATGGTCTCCTGTGTTATAGAATATTGAATATTGTATTCTTATTTACAAATTCAGTTTGCAATTAGTTATTAAGATTTAAAACTGCCTGGACTTGTCAGTATTTGTTCCTCAACTGTGTTTTCTGATTTTGTTCCTTATGCATAACATTTTCATTTAAATATTTTATATGTTTATTAAATAAGTACTAAACAGTGAATGTTTGTATATATTGTCAGCAGTGCTCACTTTTTGTTCCTTGAAATATCATTTGTTTTTAATTTTAAAATAATAATTGTTGTTTTATTTTTATATGTTTCTCATTTGCTGCTTATTAATTTTATTATTATTTGTTTGTCATTTGCTCCCTTTAGATAGTTTAAATTCTGTGTTAATAAGCTGTAGTCAACTTTTTTTTTCTTTTTTGCTTACAAATTATGGATTTTTTAATATATTTATTTTACTATCGTAATTCATTTTGAGATACTTTATGATCTTTGAAATTGTTTCTAAATTTTAAAATTTTGAGTTTTTAAGGTTGTATCAAAGTATATTTCAGAAGAATCTATTCTCTGTCCTTCAAAATACATGCTAAATCTTTTATTTCATCATATTTCTAAGAGTGCAATCTTTTTCTCTAATGTGGTTTTCGAGTTTTAAATTAAAAGATTTTAAATCTTTTATAGTAATTTCTATTTTAATAAGAGACTATACATATATATATGTGTATGTTTAAGATTAGTAATAAGAAAATAATTATACTACCAAAGTTGTGAAGACTAAACTTATACTTCGTGGAAAGCAAATAAAAAAAAGCAAGGGAAAGGTAAAAAGAAAAAGTAAGAATGATTTTTATAATGCCAGCAAGCAGCTACAGTTGCACCATTTTTTATTCCATTTCTGAAGGAATTTTAAATTAAAAAATTTTATTAGGAACAATATTTTGTAATAATATTACTGTAAAATGAGGTGTCTCAAAACTTTTGTAATTTTTAATGCATTCTGCTGTTTAGTGTTTTTCAGAGTTGACTGTTGTATCAGACTGAATGTCTTTATTATGCATCTTAACCCTCTGAGCGGCATGGGTTTTTGGATCTGTCATGAAGACTTCTATTCAAAGACCACTTTATTAGCTTAATTTTGTATATTTACTTACTTTAGGCTCTATTTTCATAAACTTACATTTATTAAGATGCTATTTATATTATTAAAGAAAGTAAGAAAGCAAAATATCATAAATTATAAGCTAATATATAACAAATGACAAAAAATCTCATGACCAGATAAAAGCGGCCATAACGCTCAGGGTTAAGACTTTTTATACTGCTAATCTATGTAAAAAATTTTGTTCTTGAATTTTAAACTGTTGCTTGACAAACATGCCTTTCTCTTTTTTAGCTTCAAATACAGTGTATTTTATCATGAACATTCATAAAATCATTACTGTGATCTTTGTCTGTAAAATGTGTTAGTTTCAATTTTTTTTTTTTTTTTTAGTTTTTAATTCAGCCAAAAATGAAATCACAAAAGGGGCAGATTTTAAAATGCTCTGGTTGCTCTTTGATGATGAACTTATAATTTAATGATTATAATTTTGAAATTAAAGATTTCGATATCTTATCAAAATCATTCTTACTTTTTCATATTATACTTTCCCATTTCTTTGGAAAAATTTTTTTTAGAGGGGGTGGGGTTAGTTGAAGTTTTATTTACTTAGCTGCCAATTCTCTACTGATTTTTCATTACATTTCCTAGTCTCCCAGTGGATCACTGAGTCTTCTAGTTTTTAATTTTTAGCCTTTACTAAGAAAAGTGTCTTTCAGCAATAAATGAAATTTAGTGAATTGATTGAACTTAAATAATGCATAATTTTTCTTATGAAATTTTGTTTGATCTGATTATTTTAACTGAAAGTAGGCATTTATAGATTCTCTGAACTAACTTTTAATCATTTAATTTTGTTTTGCAGTGATATATGATACATTACTAAATTTATGCACATAAGAATATGTGTATTTATTAACAATTTTGTGTTCATTGTGTTTAAAAATACTTCAATAAATTACAGTTTTCCTTCTCAGAATTTTCTTAAATAAAGGGGTATAAGAAAATTACAAGAGAGAAATAAGCCATGAACATAAAATTTAGAATATGTAATAAAATATTAATACATTTGACATCAGAACCAAATTATAATTGTCAAATAACCTGAATCATGAATTCTAAAACAAATTTAAGTAGATTTGAGGGTTTTTTTTTTTTTTTTTTTTTTTTTTTTTTTTTTTTAAGTCCATAGGGACTTGAGTCCCGAAGGACTATTACTTTCGTTTTGGCATTTTGCGTCGGACGGATAAATGTCGGTTCACTTTTCAAACTGTTGCCATAAAATGTTAGAGTCCTGCATTATATTTGAAGAAATTAAATAATGAAATGTGTAAATTTCTCACATTGTCATAAAATAACGGTACATAGAGTCATCGAATTTTGAATAACGTAATCCTCCAACGAATATGAGAGCATGTGAAGACCCAAATTTGAAATTTGAAATTTGTTTTATGATCGATTTCCTATTTTTTAAAACTTTGACGAATTTTTGATTAACAAACTCAAGGATTTCAAAGCGAGCAATGGCAACGTTGTGTGCAGAAAATTTTTTATCTACAGCGCGTGAGTCTCTGTATCGGAAAATTCTAAAGATATGCTCGTTTTAAAACTATTTTGCGATATATTGCTGTTGCACTGGATCTTATGGTTTAAGTGCGAGGAACATGATATTTAATAAAGAAAGGTAACACACAAAATGTTAAAAAATGCCCCTTTGGACGTAATTTAAAATCTGAAACATTTCAGTTTTTTTTTTTTTTTTTTTTTTTTTTTTTTTTTTTTTTTTTTAAGGTTGCCTTTATGCTGTGGAAAAATTTGCCCACCTGAGAATCTGACCCAGTTTTTCATATTTCAAGCTTCACATCTATGATATAATTATTTTCCAATGTAGTTATGCATTATTTATAGTAGCAATGAGTACATATTTAGTGTTACGTTATTTTATTTCTTCATCCTCTCTCTCTATATATATATATATGTACATAATATATACCATTTGTGTATATGTATATATTATATAGAGAGAGAGAAGATGATGTACTGAAAATTTGCTTCCTTAATTTTTACTGCCAGGAGGGAAAAAAATAAATGTTTCTAAAGTGTTTCATTGTCTTTGTTCGTCTGGTATGTTTTATTAATGTTGTTTTTTTAATATCTTCTAATATTATTGCAATATATATACGGGACTACATTATTTTTAGTTAACACGAAAACAAGCACAGTCATTGTTAAATTTCCTATTGTATTTAATTTTTCTTTATTAATTTTAACTTTTTTATGTGAGAAATTATTGTGTTTATACCCTATGATGGAAACTGTAATAAACGAAAATTGTAAATGTGTTGCTATGTGTATATATTAGTAAAAAAGTATTTATTGTATTAATATATAGGTTTACAACTATCTTTTTTGTTTTAAGTAGGGTGCCTAGATTGCAAATGCTTTCAGCTCAGACTGATCAGTCTAGAACTCATTGTGTTAAATGTCCAGTCAGTTAAAATATTATTTAAAATGATTTCCACATTATTTCTAAGAGTGATCCCCTCCACCCAGTGCACAACTGAAAATATCTTTTTTGTTTCACAATCAAGGAGTCTTAACACTGTAAAATATCAATTAGTAATAAATTGAAACCAAAATGAAATAGAAATATATTTTTAAACTCACACAAAATTTTTTTTTTTTTTTGTTATTATTTTTTTATCATTGGAGTTTTTTTTCCTATTTAATTCTTATATATGCTTTCTGATATCTTTTATTCATACTTGAAAGTCACATTTTTATAAAGAAAGCACGGGATAAAATCAAACCTTATTTTTTAACATAAAAGACATCATATAAAATAACTGAGGTCTGTACGCAATATTTAATTTTCTTAAAATAATTAATGTTCAATTTAAAAATTATCCTATGAGACTGAAACATACAGTAGTATCTCATAAAAGTTAAGTTTGTTCAAATCATTTCCAAGGAATTGTTGTGGTTTCAAACTTTCATGATTTTTACTTGTTCATCTTATTCTCCAATCTCTTCTAAAGAGCTTTCTTCACTTTAGCAGCAAAGCTTTGGGCACCACATCACTTGTCATCTGAAAAAAATCAAAGTCCTTGCTTAAAGCTCCTATCACTCCTTTAAAGGGATGACCCCTGTCTGCATTACTTTTTCAAAACCCCCTATTCCTAGCATCATACACAATTTCGATTGCTCTTCTGATCTTTCATATCTTATTCATACTCAATTATACTGGCATCATCTCCTTTCATTCTAAGAAAAACCCCAATATAAGCTCGTATAAAAGGAAAAAAGCCCCACAAAATATGCTCACATGGAAAAAAGCTCCATGATAGCTCACCTGGAATAAGCCAACTGAAATAAAATCTAGAAATATCCTTACTTAATCAATCAATAAACGACGCCATGTACAAAATTTAATTTTTGAAAAATTATTGGAAAATGCTCAATACCCTTTTCAAGGCAGTATATAAATAAT